GGTCAATCGCTGGACACAGTTAATGTCACGTTGCACTCCATTTGTTGCTCTGCTTATTCGTAAGGTCTGATTGTTCCATAGGTCGGATGAAAATGGAATCATTTTTAACTTAGAAGCAGAAGAAGACTATTTGGCCACGGTGCCTGTGCTGGCTCTTTGAAAGAGAAATCCATTCAGTCCCATTTCTCTCCCACCACCATCCCCGTCCCCCCAATACTGGCAAGTTCCAAGGTCGTCAGTCAAAGGTTCTGCTTTCAGTGACCAGCAGGAGACACTAAGGAATCAGCAAACAGTAGCATTAAGACAGATCCTGTTTACCTCAGAATAGAAGTACAGCACATCCATAGACTTACAGTGAGGGTTATTATATGTTATGTGCTGTGCGTTGAGTAAAGCTACAAATAATACCTTTCGTAATTAATGGCACCTATAATTCCCTCGATTTGGTTTGCGGGTATCAGACTTGCACATGCGATGCACGTTTCAGAATTACTGTCATCAACACTCATCATAGTTGTGCTGTAGAGCTAAATAATGACAGAAAGTGCCTGTTTATTTCAAAGAAATCTGTGTCCTGGGATCCCTCTGGCACTTGCGTGGAACGTGGGGGATTATAGGCGATGTTGAGAATGAGCCAGATAAGTAACGGAGGACACCAGTGGATCAAGCAGCTCAGTAACAGGGACTCAGTCATTTTCTGCTTGGCCCCCTGTGGCAGTGAGAGGCACATTGCATTACAAATCTAGATTAAAGGAGCCGTCAGGCTGAGTGTGAACAGCTGGTCGGAATCTGAAATAAAACAATTCTGCTCATTTGAAATCGCAGTTTTGTAAATGTTTTTTTGTTTTTAAAAAAAAAAGAAGTGTTTTGGGCAAAAAGGAATTAAATTATCCCTGCGCTAGCCTCTCGTCCAGGATCATTCTCATGAGATGCACTGCGGGTTTCTGAGCCCCATTTGCTGGCTGCACATCGAGGCTCAACTCCAGGTCAGTTGCTGCCTCGCTCACTGTGGTTTTACGTGAAACCAGGAAGTCCTTGTGGGTAGTAGGTTGGTGCACTCACCTCTCAAGCGAGAGGACCCGGGTTCAGTTCCTGGGCGGGCAAAACCTTAGGCAAGTTTCCGTACTCCTCAACACACTGTTTACAAAGCAGCAAATAGCAACTCGGTTGTTAGTCAATTGGTGGATTGCTTTCCGGGGGTAATAGTTCACTGCAAAGTTTAGTGACTAGTTTTTTTTTTAGGCGATTTTGATTAAACCCGAGCAGTATATTGGGTTCAATAAATTATCCAGAATTTGTTTGGCTTTGATGGGAAAGGAATAGATGGAGGAAAGGCCGTGCTGTTTGTTATGTTGGGAGGTGTGTTGGCAACAGGCAAACAGCACGGCCCCCAGTGGTGGAATGTGGCAGTTAGTACCCCAAAGCGCACTTTGAAGGTTTTCTGTCGAACCGATAACACTAAAAAAAAATGTTGCGAAAGCATAAGATCGGTTCTTATATTATGATATATAAATCTTAAAGATAAGATCAGTTCTCTCCCTCAAATAGAAACAATTAATGCGCAGGCTGACATTGCAAATTCAAGAAAGCTGTACATCGGACGATCATGCCCTCACGACAGCCAGTACTTCAAGTTAGCAGTTATCGTTCCCCTTTTTTTTTGCTGATGGTAGTTATTTTTCAGCCCATTCTTGGGGTTGGGATACACTGTCTACGCTGAAGGCCTATATTTTGTTAACAGAATAAGAATGGTGCATCATGCTTTGTGATGAGCATTGGGCATCTGCTTAGAGCACCAGTTTTGATCTCCCGGGTTCTGTTCTGTTCATAAAATGTTCAAACTTCATTTTAGTCTTTTTAATGTACCTGTGGTTAGAAAACCTCAAAGAGTCTCTGATGTAAGTCGTGGCCAGGCACCTGCCCTCTGTATCTATTACCTGGTACCAGACACATTCATAAAAATAACTTGTTTAATCAATGTATGCCTGAAGGGATGAATAACTTGTATCTGGTTACATCACAGTGATCATGAATTACCTTCTAACTGATTATTGTAGCAAAAGGCCTGAAAGTACTGTTCTTGTTCTGTGTGCATCTCTCTCTCTCGCTCTCCCACACACTCTCTTTTATACTTTGTCACTTTCTTATCAGTTCATCTCGTACTTGTGTGTGTGGGGGGGGTGTCTCTTTCTTTCTCTCTCTCTCTCTCCCCCCCTCTCTCAAATAGAAACAATTAATGTGCAGGCTGATATGACAAGCCCTATTTAACCTCTCTCCCCACCCATCTGTCTGACAACTTGGATCAATGCCAGTTTCCATTGATAATTGGGTCTCTCACTTGCCAACTGCTAACACCAGCCATTGTTTTGTTCTGCTTCTAATGGGATTTCCCATTATTAACAGGTAATGAAAAGGACTGAGCTGGTGTTAACATTCAGCATGTGGTTGACCCAACATGTCTGTTGTGTGGGTTCCTCTCACCTTCCAGATTTATTCCCAGGGTCTATTGAGTTGGCCTGGAATCATGTAGTAATAATAATAATAATCCTTGCATTTGATATAGCACCTGATCACGTCTTCGAGACGCCTCAAAGCGCTTCACAGAATCTACTGTAAAGTGTAGTGTCTGTATTTTGTGGGCGAAATAGTCGTCATTCGCCAGAATAGTCATGACCTCCTCCAGTCTGGTTCTGGTTCTGTTTTACCCAGGTTAAATGGCATGCCACACTGGCTGGTCCCGCTGACTCAGTAAGGACAGCTCTTTTGGGCAGGGAGCTAGACGGCCTCCATCGGCCATGGATCTGCACCCGGGCGGTTCCCAAATGGAAGCAAATTGATGAACAGTACAGCCGAGGAGCCCACAGGAGTCGGCATCCAGAATCCTGCCTTGTCTGTAGTTGAGCGCTCCCTCTCCACGGCCCTGGAGTGCCAGCCTGGGCCGAGTCTCGATTGCTCATGAGGAGCTTGAACCCACAACCTTCTGATTCACAGACAAGGGACAAAACCCTGGTTATATATGGAGCTCTTATAGCCACACATGGCTTTCGCGGTGGAGACTGCAAGTGGCAATTGAGGTGGAGACAATAAAAACATTTAAAAGGAATCTGAAGGGCAGGAATATAAACTGGGTATCAGGGGAAAGTTTTGGGGTTAGAGAGAGATCAGTGAGTGCTGGATGGTTCAAATGGCCTCTATGTGAGCTGTCATTTTAATGGTTTGACCCCTTTCAAGCCAGAGGGATAATGGTTAGTTTCTGCCCACTGGAAAAGAGCAAGTTAGGATTCAGGCTGACTAGCCATTTGTTTCCAGTTTGTTGCGACTTGGTGGGAATTGGTCAAGACGAAACTCGAAAACCACAGCCCAGCGCTGAAACGGTCATGGAATTTATTTGGTGGTGATGCTTTATTCCATTTTATCCTTTATCCTTGCGTGTGTATGTAATTAACCTCCACCTTTGAATATATTTTTATACATATTATAAATCTTTCCTGTTCAACTCGTAAGTCCTCCAACTCTGGAGACGTCCTTTTCCTTCTGTCATTAATAAAAGCATTAATATTTCACGCGCAGAACAAACAGTAAGTGGCCTGGAGCTGAGTGAGTTTTGGGGTTAATTCCCATTAGGCAAAGCTTTTGCTGCAATGCCTGAAAGATTGCATTGCAGCCTTCAAATCATTCTCCATTCCCCTACTGTGTGCCCCAACTATCCATATTGTTGGTCTTTATTATTAATCGCTTCAAAAAAAAATGTGGTCACTCAATCCATGACTGTTTGTGAGACGCTGCTGTGTGCAGTTGACTGCTGTGTTCCTCCCACAAAATGGATCAGTCAATCCACGTTACCGTATATTCTGTGAAGCGCTTTGAGACGTCTCGAAGACGCGATAAGGCGCTGTATCAAATTCAAGGATTATTATTATTATTATATCCCATTTTCGATCTCTCTCTCCCCCTATATGGATATATATTATATAATTACTTTTTACAGTTATCCTTTATAAAGACTGAAGGGAAATACATCTTGCACTCACAGCGGCCGCACACTGCCATCTGTTGACCACACATGGGTATTTACAGAATTCTTCAGCGCTGAGCAGGATCAGTTTTCTAACTGCACGGAAAGTTCAGATCAACCGTGTAAACTGTCTCTATATTCCCACCCTGACCTCTTCCACAACGAGTGCAGAGTCCTGGCTACTATGCTGAAAACGCATATTAATAATTACGTCTGATAAATGACTAATACATGAATTAAATGAATAATTATCCTTTCATTTGATATGGCGCCTTTCATATCAGAAGGACGTCTCGAAGCACTTTACTGTAGGGTGCAGGGACCGTATTTTTGTAAGCAAACCTGTCAGCCAATTTGTGCAAAGCATTGCCATCGCAAACAACCATAACTGGTCACAATTTGAAGCAGTGAAGCCTATTTGGTCTAAAAGTGTGGAATGAATCACCTGCTGATAACAAGTGGCTTACAGTCGTCGTAATGCTGTTCATGTACAAGCCAAAGCCCTAACGAGCCGGGTGGGCCTGGCTGAACAAGTAGAGGGAAGCTTGTCAGACAGTGCTCTCAATGGCAAGCTGTGAAATATATAGCTGGTTAGATGCCAGCAGTACAAAGCTCTTGTCAAACTGCACCTAAAATGCTTGAAATTAGGGACGCAGGATGTAACCGTGTTAGGGAGTGTGTGGCTTTCCACTCCAGAATTCTCGGTCTGGTTTGGATACTCTCCAAATAGATGGCGATAGGTTTCTTCGTGCCAGACAACCAAACTGAACTGAACAAAAAAGGTTTGCTCAACGGCACTGCTGCCCTTTTATGTCCCTCGGACTATTTCTTCATCTCAGTCTGCACCCTGTACAATCCAAATAGTCTTCTCAAGCAGATACATATCCAGGTAAGTTTATTTTGAATAGACAGATCATTGACTTCTTGTCCTATTAATTGACCAGCCTTCTCTCTCTCTCTCTCTCTCTCTTTCTCACACACACAGAGTGGAGGTCGAGTTCTATGTGAATGAAAATACCTTCAAGGAACGACTCAAACTCTTCTTCATCAAAAACCAAAGATCAAGTAAGTCGAACAGTTTGTCCAGTCTCGTGGACCCCAAGCATCACATGACATTGTGTCGCGTGGCATTAAAACCTTGCAAGGTACGAAGCAGTTGGCCATGAAAAAAACAGGGAAGGCCATTCAGCCACTGAAGCTTTGGCCTGCAGTCATTGCTAATGTGAACACCATTAGGACATTTAGGACGCCCTGCCAAGTAAGGTGGTGGAGGCAGAGTTTCAATAGGGAAGTAAACCAGCGTGTGTGTATATTATATATATCAAAATATTCCTTGCATTTGGTTTCGCCCAATCCACTTTGCAATATATCCTGTGAAGTGCTTTGAGATGTCTCGATGATGTCAAAAGATGCTATATCAAATGCAAGGGTTATTATTACAATGCCTATTCCAGCGTCAAGAAAATGTCCCAAAGTTCTTGCCAGGATAATAGTAGCTGGTCATTGGGTATTTTGTACCCAAATTGCATACCGCAATTTATTAGGATACGTTGAAAAGCGAAGGACTTTGAGACGTTATGTCAAATATCAGGGATGTTGCTAAACCAAGATTGTTTTTCACTTCAGGTTTAAGAATTCGACTCTTTAACTTCTCCCTGAAGCTGCTCACCTGCCTCTTGTACATAGTCCGTGTTCTGCTGGATGATCCCACAGAAGACATTGGATGGTAAGGCACTCTGTTAAAACACCTCGATCGCAGGCTGCTGCCAGCACATAGTCTTCACACCCTGCTGCTAGTCTTGGACTCGCTTCCCTGCCCTCCACCCCTCCCGACCCCAACTCCCAGCTCGGGTCCAAAAAACCCCCGACTGTCCAGCACCCTGGGACGTCTTCCCGACACGAAGGGCGCCGTACAAGTGTAATTTGTGGTGGTTCTTGTTGAGCAGCACTCTGAAGCTAACTAACGTGTTCTCAAAGTGCTTCACAGAGAATGTAACGACAAGGATGGTTCAATGAGTGAAGTTCGCTTTGGTGCTTTATATTTCACAAGCTTTGCATTAGAGTGGGTTTCCCTACAGCTTGAGTGACTTTGGTCAACATTGTTAAAGTTCTATGTTCTTCCTCTGCTCAGTGTCCATCACAGTATTTACCTAACATTTTGATACGTTAACGGATGGGAAATATTTTATGGTGCTATATAACTGCAATTGTTGTTTGTTATTCCCTGTGGATAGAAGGGTTGAGAGCTCGAAACAACTTTTAGAAATGTTTGCTTTTTGACTTGTAGCTTGGCAGGACACTGAATATTCATTTCCCCAATGCAGTTTATTCTGCGGTTTGGATTTTAATGGATTCCGCAGAGGGATTGCTGTTATCAAGCTCTGCTGCTCAGCGCAATGGTGTTGAGTCCATTTTGCAATACCAATGATGGCATCAACATGCTACAGCCACTCCTTGGGGCTATCTCACTGAGCGTAAATTTCAGGACAGGTCTAAGAGCAGGAAAGCTTAGCAGTGACCCTGAGCGAAAATAACTTGCACCTGAGATCGTGAATCTCGAGGGCAACAGCTCTGTTCTTGCTATGAGCGAGGAAAGGAGAGAAGCATCTTTGTCTGAGGCCAAATGCCGTTAGCTCAACTGAATTCTGTGCCCCAGATACCACCACGGACTCATTTATGAGTTGGGAAGATTCTCGCCCGCACAATTGTTGTTGTGGCCGACATTGGGCAAAAGTCCCAAGGACAGTAGAAGGACCTTATTATAACTTAACTCCACTGTCAGCATACCTGCCTACGTGTGAGTGAAAGCTGCGAGCTGGAATAATAGTTGCAATGAGTGTCAACTGGCCTGGAAAGTCGGTGTTTACCAGCAATGCCGCATTTGAAAATCCAAGGCCGGAACAAAATTCCATCCATTGTTAGCCTGAAAAACCACCTGGTCTTAAAATTCACGATTGCACAGAATATTGGAAGTCCTTAAACTCAGTCTTAATTTGGAAGTCATTTTCCCTGAGCGTTTTTGTAAGGAAACACAGCAGCCAAACACAAGGTTTGTGGGCTATTACTGTGTGTAAATACATAAAATACTGTGAAGCACTTTGAGAAATCCCAATACCCAAATTGCTATACCTTGTGCAACGATTGTTATAATTATTTTTTTTAAAAAAAGTAGAAAATCAACTTGCAAGTTGTCTGAAATTTCCAAAATTCTGCCTAACCAAATTTGAAAGCAAATTGTCTTACAGGCTAAAATTAGGGGAATTTCGGGCCTCTAAGTTTAAAAACAGTCAGTTATAATAATAATAATAATAATCCTTCCACTTGATATAGTGCCTTATCATGTCTTCAATACTTCTTAAAACGCTTTACAGAATATATTGTAAAGTGAATGACTGTACATTTTGCAGGCGAAACATTGAATTATATTGAAGAGACTAATATGTTGACAAGGTAGGGGGTAGACTCTGGCTGATGTGTCTGGCTAAACTTGGAAGACGTGGGAAGGTGTAAGATTTTGGGTCTAATCATGCTTTGTGTCCACATTTAGTTCGACGTCTGGAGGATGCTCAAATCGCAATCACTCCGCAAACCTTTCAAGTGCATTTGCAGCGAGTATCAACTGGTAAGTGACTCCGTACTAGATAAGTGCGGCATTGCCGACGGGAGGAGGGGGGGGGTGGACGAGAGGAGGAATTGTTTGGATATAAAAATAACAATAAAAAAGTCTAAACATGGAAGGTGCTACACAACTGTAATTTGATGCTGCTGTTGTCGCGAACAAGCCTGTCACCTGTCTCGTTTGGGTTTCTTCCAGGTCGCCGATTCTTTGGGTAAACAGAACTCTACCACTTTGGGCAATTCAGGTGAGTGAGCAGCTTGAGTGTGGTGGCAACGTTAACAGTGTCGCAAACTGGATTCGCACAAGCGCATAGTATTGGGCAGTGGGTTTCCAGAGATGAATCTCTCAGCTGGTCGGTAAATTTCACATGTCTCTGCTCGCGGGTAATCTAATGAAATACTGTGTATACTGTTACGGGATATTTGTCAAACGCATTGAAGTCCTGTGTACCAGCCACCAGACAATGTTACTGGCTGATATGGGCTTTATCATATCACACCACACACCCAGAGGACAGCAGAGCCAAACATTGCTGACCATTCTAGATACTAATTACACCTTCTCGGAGCTTTTGCAAAAATTGTTCATAGGTTAATATTTAAACCCACCTTGACATGTAACACTGCGCAAATTTGATTTAGCTTAGCTGTGCACATCGCCCAAAATAAATTCCTGAAACGTGACCCGTGGATTAACATGCTGTTGCTTTGCTCTCTGTAGGTTATAGTGGCTTTGATTAGTTTCCTGGAGACTATGCTTCTCACCTATCTAAGTTACAAGGTAAGGACCTGGATGATTGACTGGCACAGGGTTATTTTTGCAGGTGAATAATAATAATCCTTGAATTTCATAGAGTGCCTTATCACGTCCTTACAATACACTTACCCTCCTGTCTTCCCATGGGTTTTGTTCCGTGGCCTGTCCTCAACCACCCTTCCTGCTAACCATTGCTGCTGTTGTTGTTGTTTACCCTCTGGGTAAAGAAATACTTCCTGCTGTTTGTCCCTGAAATTACCCTTTGCAAACCTGAACCTGTGTCCTCTTGTTGCGCTGCCTTGGTGCATCAAAAGCATCGTTCTGTGTTTACTTTCTCAATCCCATTTAAACTCTTGTAGACTTTTATAAGGTCCCCTCTGAGACACGTTCTTTGAAGACCAAAAAGCCCTAACATTAGCACCCTCTCACGATGACCACCTCACTGCAGGTTGAAATATTCCTCACTATTCAGTCCTGTATCTGTGCAGACCTGAATCTCTACTCCGTGCTCTTTGTAATGGGTAATGAAAGGTATAGTATGTAGAGAGCAGAGCGGATTCTGAAGTAGGGCAGGTAATGAGGCTGGCAATAGATATTACGTGACAATTTCTAATGTTGTATGTTTTCCGTTTCTTTTTCCATGTTCTTTCTGTTTCGTAAAGTCCTTTTCTGTGCCTTGTCTCCTGTTAGAAGGAGCCACTCTGCTCCGGTCCATTGGGGCCGATTGCTTTGTAAAGAGACGTCTAGATATTGTGCAGCTGTGACGCAGCTGGTTCCTTTGCAAGAGCAGATCGGCGAAGAGTTGTCTTGCTGTCAGTGAGATGATGTTGGCTGGGCTCATTAACTGACTAGATTGACCGTGGGCTATTGTCTCTCTTTGCTGTGCTCCCACGTCACCTTAATGAGCCCAATGTTGGTGGTGGCATTTTGATGCAATGTAAATAACTAAGGGATCGCAGGATATACAGTGTGAAGTGCTGTGGCTTTGTATTTCGCTAGGTGAACGATGTGGGGAAAGTGAGATTAATTCAAACAAACTTTAAAAACAAAGAGTTGGTGGGGCGCAAATATGATGAGCGTACAGAACGGATTTACAGTTCCCAGGACATAAAATGTAATTTGCAGGTGCAGAAAAGGCCGGTTGGGTGGGCTGCAATTTATATAACGAGTGGAATTTAAAAACGAGGAAATGTGCACAGAGCTCTGGTCAAACCTCATTTGAAGTTGTATGTTCAGTGTCGTCATCTGATGCACTCACTCAAGGATGCTATGGATGCCCGTGACAGAAATAGAAAGGCAATTTGCTGCCTCGAGGTGTTTGCGAATGCAAAGGGCAAGCCTTTTAAAACAATATTACTTGCACACTGATTTGTAGTAAACAGGCTCTCTGTCCAGTCCTCACACCTCTACGTGCCTGTGTTGTTCATCACAGCGCTCTCGTACATAACGCAACCAGATGAGACTTCAACTCAACCAGAAATTTAATTAAAATTCCCACCTCAATAAGGGAAAGGAAATGAGATGAAGATGTGAGGGGGTTGTATTCTCAAATAAATGGGGATGGGTCCGGAGGGGAGGGGGGGGTGCGGGGGTGGTAATGAACTTAAGGATAAATAACAAATAAATAAACCTTGCATTTGATTAAAGCTCCTCTGGCATCAAGAAGATGTCTCAAAACGTTTCACAGGACATATAGTGTAAAAGTGTTGTGACTTTGCAGTTTGTAGGTGAAAGATATGGGGAAAGTGAAATTAATTTACTAAAAAAAAACTTTTAACAAGAGTTACGCCGACTCGAATTTATATAGCGCCCCACGGACAGGACAGTATCCCAGAGCTCTTGGGAGTGTGCAGACGTGATGGGCTGAACAGCCTCACCTGCTGAAAATACGGTACCTTTGGTTTCAAACCTTTACAGAGTCTGAGGTAACTTTATCTGGCAAACCTTCAAATTAACAGCAGTTGAACGATAGAAATTGGTCTCCATTTCGCAGGTCGCGCGACCAGCTGTTTCCAAATTACAAAATCGCATTAAACAGTGCATCATAATGCATCATTTGAGTGGCGGTTCCTGTTGTAGGATTCCTGGCTGCTGTAATTGATATTGTTTTTTTTTGCCAGGGGAACATCTGGGAGCAGATATTTCGAGTAACTTTTATTCTGGAGATGATTAACACAGTTCCTTTCATTATCACAGTAAGTTTATGCAGCAGATTTATTCATCGATTTATTTCAAACCTGACGACAACTTCAACTCTGCCACTGTTGGAAGACAGTTAATAGAACTGCGCTGAGATAAAATGAACTTAATAATAATAATAATCCTTGCATTTTATCTGGTGCCTTATCACATCATTGAGATATCTCAAAGCGCTTCACAGGATATAGTGTAAAGTAGATTGTCTGTATTTTGCTCTGTAACCAGCAGATAAAGGCAGCTGTTTGTAATAGGGTCAATTATTCTCAAATCCAAGTTACATAGAATTCCGTAAACTTTGCAGCCTGGAAATGGGCCATTTGACCCGACCAGTCCCAACACGTGTTTCCACTCACACTTCTGCAGCTTTCCCACCATACCCCGCTATTTACTCCCTGCGCTCTCATGTAAGCATCGAGTTTACTCTTAAATGCGTTGGCGCCTTCCATTAAAAAAAATTGGTGCAGAACATTAAGGGACTAGCATGCGAAGCCTGTGCATGTGTTTTATTTGCGATCTTCCTCTGATTCAGATGGTAAATTGTGATGGGGTCTGACTACTGAGACCAATTTGAGGCATTGGTTACATGCCCAGGCAATTTAGCTGCACCTGGATTTCCATCCCTCCAATTATAAATTCCGGCTCGGAATCCATCCCTAGAAACCCCTTGAGTGACCCCGATGCATCAGCCCCAAAGTTTTCGAGTTTGTTCTGACTGCTTAACTCCCCCGTTAGTGCAACTTGAACGCACAGCTTTCTCTGCAGCTTCACTCACCGCAGCATAGCTTTCCCAAATCAATCTGCTTTCCTGCTCCCAATCGATACACTGCTGACAGTTACAGATGTAACTGGCTTGTGGGGGTATAAACCGCACGTCAGCCTAGTTATTTCCTCTCAAGCTGATAAAGGATGATTCAAGTTCGAATGAATTATGGTTATTTCAGCTCAAACAAAGAGGATGCCAGAGATTATTTTGGTTGTGATTTTGAATCACTATTTTCCATCAATGCACATCTAACCTTGTTCTTTCTCTTTCCTCTCTTTACCCCCCCCCCCACCTCTGCCACATCATCCGTTACAGATCTTCTGGCCTCCCTTGAGAAATCTCTTCATCCCAGTGTTTCTAAACTGCTGGCTGGCCAAGCACGCACTGGAGAACATGATTGTAAGTAGTCATCCCGGGCACAAACAGTGAGATCCGCACAAACGATGGTATCTGAACCAAACAACATCTTGCACTTATGTAGCGCCCTCCAGGCAGAGTAGCGTCTCAGAGCGCTTAACAGTGGCGGAGCCCTACTCCGAGCAGGGGTGTGGGGGGTGAAGGTGACCGTAGGCACGGTCAAAAAAGGTTTTTGGGAGAGACTTGGAAAAGGGGAGAGAGGAGGCAAGGCGGAGGGAATGAGGGAGAGTGTTCCAGAGTGTCGGGGTTCAGTACATGGTCTCGAGTCGTGGACCTTGAATGAGGGTGGATGGGCAGGTGGGGAGACAGGAAGGTGGAGGGCAGTTGACACTTGGGGCGAAGGGGAAATACATGGAAACAACATAGAAAGTTTGTAAAACCCGTAATCGTAAACATTTGCGCTCCAGTGAGGAGTGTATCTGCTGCGATACAAGCATCCCTGACCACTCACAGAAGCTGAGTTGGCTTTAAAAGCCCTTCAATCAGCCGCTGATGCTTCTTCTCAAAGCTCAGTGTAGCAGCTGTCCAACTGAAGTAATAAACTGTTATATTGTTGTCGTCCAGTGATGTGATTAACCCTGACATCTTGTTGCTCTAATACCCTGGTGACCTGAATCCTCCACCTCGTATCAATTTCATTTCATAATTAATCCTTCGATCCTTGAAACAAATAGGCCACTTTGACGTGTGTTGTGCTCTGCACTGACTGAGATGGAGAAGGCAACTCTCTCACTGCTGCCCACAAAAAGCATCAGTTTAAAAAAAAATCAATGTTTTATGTATTTGTTTACCAACATTTCTCTTCATTTCTTTTTGCCCTGAAGACCTGAAGCTGTTTGTGAACATGACTTTTTTTTTAATGCGTGAGCCTTGCCAGTAAATGTTGGCAGGATATTCGGGTGCTTTTCCCCACAACTGGATTTTGAACTCAGTCCGCACTGACGCTCAAACATATTGTTGGAGGTGCCGTTCTTATCCTGGCCAACAATCCCCCCCCAAATAAAATTGGTCACTCACTCCATGGCTACCTGTGAGGCATTGCTGTGTGCAAATTGGCCGTCGAGTTTGCCAGTAAAATACACACAGTCACACCACTTTATATTATAACCTGTCAAGCGCTTTGAGACATCTCGACACAGTGAGGCGCGTGGATTATTCCATTATATCAAAGGCGAGTGTTATGTAACATCAAATATTTCTTTCCATCTAGAACGATTTGCACAGGGCCATTCAGAGGACCCAGTCGGCCATGTTTAACCAAGTCTTGATATTGATTTGCACCCTGCTTTGTCTCGTGTTTACAGGGTGAGTATCAAACATTTACCATCTTAAGCGGGAGTGGGAGTGGAATTCCAGCCCCTGGAGCTGATGCAGTGAAGCTGTGCTTATGTAAATTCACCATCAACCATTTCTTTCTGTGTTGAAACATAATGCCTTCCTCAGCTCTCTTTCCCCAACCCCCCACCCCCCCCCATCCCCCACCCCAGGCTCCTAGTCAGCTTTATGAAGCTCTTTGAGATGTCCTCCCGACGTACGAATCTTTATGAATCGCTAGTGGTTTGTAAACTCTAGATGATGATCTGAGCTCCCGCATGGCATTTAAAGCCTTGAAATAATAATAATAATCTTTGCATTTGGTGTAGCGCTTTTTACGTCTTCCACACGTCCCAATGACTTCAAGGTATGTGAGGATTTTTAAAAATATATACAGGGTGACCAAAAAGTCGTGATACCATTACAATATCTAATAAGTCTTAAAGAAATAATGATTGGTGTGTGTGTGTATATATACACACACATATATACATATATATATTTTAGATAATGGGGTAGAGATCACGACTTTTCGTTATCTGTATAACACTTAATGGGATTGGTGTTATTTAGTTTTGGGGATTGCTGTTTAGCCATTGAGGCTGAGTGATAGTGGCGTAATGACTGAGTTTACTGCTGGGAAATTAGATTGTGCTAACGCTCGAGGAGAGCTCTGTGTGATCGCTGAGTGAGTCGTGAGCCAATTGCCAATCCGGAATCGTAACATTGTTAAAGGGGCCACTTGTGTCACCGGTTCTTTAATAACTTTGTACGAGCCCAAAAAACTATTTTCAAATTTAAAAGTCCTTTTGAAATTGGGTTTCGCAGACAAACTGGGTTTTTGCTGCTGGTGTCAGAGCAGGGTTCAAAACCCAATCGGTGTGCATTTTTGAACCTGCAGCTTCAGTGACCAAGATATGCCGACTGCCAACTCTCTCTCATAAGCGTGGGTTCGATTCCCGGGCAGGGCGAGCTATTGGACAAATTTCCTTACTCCACACGCCTCTGTTTACCTTGCAGTGAGTAGGAACCTGGTTGTTAGTCGATTGCCGGATCGCTTTTCCGGGAGTAATAATTCCTTCACTCAATCCACGACTACTGTTTGTGGGGACGCTGCTGTGCGCACTTGGATGCCACGTTTCACCCACAAAATATACAGTCAATTTACTTTTCAGTATATTCTGTGAGCGCTTTGAGACGTCTTGAGGACGTAATAAGGCGCTGTATCAAATGCAAGGATTATTATTATAAACAGTACAGGATCTCAGTCTGGCTCAGTTGGTAGCACCCTCAATTTCAATTCAGAAGATTGTGGGTTCAAGCCCTAAGTCGAGACTTGCAACTAGTTTAGGAGTGTTGTGAGTGCGGAGAGGTGAGGCTTCCAGGATATTAGCTTAATATTTGCCGCTAATTAATTTGCATACCTAATATTTTAATAAAGTAGTGTTGAGCATTAACTTTTACATAACGCCCTCCGGTTTGGAGCGAGATTAAAGATTGGTTCATTATCCAGAACCGCTTGAATCTCTATACTTGATGCAAATGCTTAAAGGAGGGTTGCTATCTGCAATTCCTTATGAATTGTTACAGAATTATTTCTTTTAAGGCGATTTTTCAAAGTTTGCTCTGGTGCAATCATTTTATCTGTTGGAGTTGTGTGTTTCTGCATTGCTCTCTTCAACAGCATTCCTAGTTCAAAATGTTTCGCTCCACCTGCTTGCTTCACCCTACCTTTATGATCTCCTATGATTCCACTTCTCTCTCCCCCCATATATTTCCTCCTCTCTGATAACTCAGACATCCTTCACATCCCTGCACCCTCCAAACCATCGTCAATGGATAAGCTTTCAGCTATTCCTCCCCTCTTCCTGAAACTCTCTCCGCCTCCCACCCTCCGTCTGTTTTCGAAACCCATCTCTTCACTTAAAAAAAAAACCTTTTTTGACTCTTCCTTCAATCACCTCCCAGCTTTTCTATCTCCCACCCTGCTCGGGCTTCCACTCGGCCTCTTCAAAGCACTCTGAGATGTTTTCCTACATGAAAGATTTGCAGTATATAAATGCACTCTGCGAATACAATAACACAGAAACATTAATGGGCTTGTTTCATTTCTCAAACCCAGTGCCCTGTCAGTGTAAGCAGCTGTGAGTCAATTACGTTTTGTTTACCAGACAAGAATGGCAAGTGTTCCTTGCCCCGGGTTTCTAAATGTCCTGCTGCCATTAGAGACTACATGATAATAGGACAGGAAGACAAATTACGGATGGTTTACCTCCAGCTGTGATGAGGGTTTTTCCAGTGAAACAGACAAGTTCATCAGTTGATAATAGCAAAGCCCAGGCCAGCGGGAAGGAACCTCCGAAACAAAAAAACTTACACTGTTCAAAGATGTATAAACGCCAAATGCCGTTTTGACGGCTCCACGAAAAGGTGGTGTTTGCAAACTCTTGAAACAGGCTCCAAAAAGAACAATATCCCCACCTTTCAACACCGCCAACAACAACTGTGCTGTTAGTTGACAAAAAGGGTTAGTAAAAGTGAAAGAGAAATAGTGGAAGGGGTTTTCAAGATTTACATCAGCGATCGGCCATGACACCCTCTCTTGTTCAACGTTACAGGACATGTGGCATCCAGCACCTGGAGAGAGCCGGAAACAAACTCTCGCTTTTCAAGTCTCTCTACTTCTGCATCGTCACCTTCTCTACCGTGGGATATGGCGACGTGACGCCCCAGATCTGGCCCTCGCAGCTCCTCGTGGTCATCATGATCTGTGTGGCCCTCGTGGTGTTGCCTCTGCAGGTACGTTTACACCTCAGATTGTGCAGGAAAACCGTACAGTGCAGTCCCGTAGCTCCATGGCTAAAGCACTCGCCTGGCAAGCGAGAGACCATGGGCAAGTTTCCTTACTCCGCCCGCCTCTGTTTGTGAGTAGGAACCCAGTAATTAGTCGATTGGCGGATTCCTTTTCTGGGGGGTAATAATTCTTTCAAAAAAAAGAATAAATTGGTCACTCAATCCATGACTGTGAGACACTGTTGTGCACAATTGGCTGCTGCATTTCGCCCACAAAATATAGTCAATTCACTTTACAGTAGTCTGTGAAGCGCTTTGAGATGTCTCAAAGACGTGATTATTATTATTTATATGAAGTGCCATTGTTCAATGCCTTTTTTTAAACTTATCTGCCATTTACAAATGCAGCCGCTAAAGCCACTACCCAGAGGGGTAACCTCCTCGTGTGGAAGTGAAACATCTCATTGCTGCTCAGTATCTGGTTAGCAGGAAGTGGCGTTCGGATTGATTGATTTTCCCCGTCGTTTTGATCCACTTTAGAAAAAAAAATACAAGTTGTTTCTTCTTTGGCTCCTGTAGTTTGAAGAGCTTGTATACCTGTGGATGGAGAGGCAGAAATCTGGTGGTAACTACAGCCGGCACCGGGCACAGACAGAGAAGCATGTGGTCCTGTGTGTCAGCTCCTTGAAAATAGACTTGCTGATGGATTTCCTCAATGAATTCTACGCTCATCCCAGGCTTCAGGTCAGCATTACTCAGTGAGGTTTTTAAGAAGGATTCTCTCCAGTGTCAGCTTTAACATGATCGAAAGCTTCTGTGGTAAAGTCCACAGGAAAATCAACTCTATGTTGGCTCTACATTGCCTGGGCAGATACCAGGAAGTTTTTATTTGCTCTGAGGGTAATTACCAACTGGAATAAGTTGCCAGCAAAAGTGGTTGATGCCTTGTCACTGGACTCATTCAAAATGCAGCTTGATGTTATGCGGGATGGGCGAGGCGGAGGGGGTAACAGTAAGGTGGGTACAATACATTTGTATAGCACCTTTCCCAAGGCTCTGGACAGTCAGGGATTTGGACCCGAGGTGGGGGAGAGCAAGAGGGTGGCCGAAGGTGCGGTCGAAAAGGAGGGTTTTGGGACACGCCTTAAGGAGACGAGGGGAGGGAGCGAGGCAAAGGGAATTCCAAAGGGTGGGAGTTCCAAAGGATGAGATTGGTGGGGCAATGGACCTTCTTCATCCCAACCAATTATGTGAAGAGTGGAGTGTAATCTAAGAGGGCTGATTATATTTGTGCTTGTGTGTTTGTTGATTGATTGTGTGTGTGTGTGTATGGCCAAAGCATTTGTTCTGAACAAACTGGTGTTTATTTCCCCATGTTGCAGGATTACTATGTTGTCATCCTGTGCCCAACAGAGATGGACCTACAGGTCCGGAGAGTGTTGCAGATTCCTCTCTGGTCTCAGCGAGTCATTTACCTGCACGGATCAGCGCTCAAAGACCAGGATCTCATGAGAGCAAAGTGAGCAACAACCTGCGTTAGTTCCATGTGTTTTGTGGTTTGAGGGAAAGGAGGAGAAATCGTTTGTGTTCTGTTTAGTGGACGGTCAAACCACTGAAGCTTAATCCATGACTTAAGAAGGGGGAGAAGTCAGAAGAAATTGGAATGAGAGGGTAGCAGGGAACGTGTAAAATCCAAATGAAACTTGTGAAGAGAGTTAAGTAGAGGAGACAGAATAACAGTTAGCCTTGGAACCCCCTTGGTTATGGGGAGGGGGGAAATGAGGAGACAACAACAACTTGCACTTATATAGCACCCTCCACACAGGGTAGTGTCTCAGAGCGGTTAACATTGGCAGAGTCTGACTCCGAGTTGGTGGGTGGGGGTTGGGGCGGGATTGAAAGAAGAAGGTCTTCAGGTGGGACTTGAAAAAGGGAAGAGATTGAGGGATCGTGTTCCAGAGTTTCGGGGTGTAATGGCTGAAGCAGGAGGTCAGTGCCAGTCGAGCGGAGGCATCGGGTGGTGGATTGGGGAGTGAGGCGGTCGGAGAGGGAGTGAAGGGATTTGAACACAAGCGTGAGGATCTTGAAGTCAATCTGTTCGGTGATGGGGAGCCAGTGGATCCTGGGCTAGAACTGATGAGATGGGGTACGGAGTTTGGTCCGGGTCAGTATGTGGGCGGCAGAGTTCTGAATGAGCTGGAGCTTTTGAATAGTGGAGCTGGGGAGACCGGTGAGGAGTGGGTTTGAGTAATCGCTAGTTAACAGCTAGGGTTGTGAAATATCTCAATCGTAGCCTTAAGGGTATTGTCTTAATCTTCAAGATCTTTAATGCTTAAACTAATGTTGAATTCCTGACTTGTTTAAAAGCAGAGACGGCTGATGTGCAAAACCTGAGGAAATGTTCGATACATTAAAATAGATGCTTGATTTCCACCCGTAACTCTGGGACCCTGAAGCCAACTTTAGTAGCTCAATCTGTGACCCAACTGAGACTTGCCCAAAATATACAGTCAATTCACTTTACAATATATCCTGTGAAGCACTTTGAGACGTCTCAACAGTCTGATTAAGGTGTTGTATCAATTACAAGGATTATTATTAGTCACTGATCTCTGGTTGAGACCGAGGCTGAGAGCTGGATGTCCTATTATAAATTCACGTCTAATTGCTGTTAATTTACAAACAAGTGAAAGGCACGATGTTCTGGTCCATTTACTGACAGTCATCTAACCATCAGCCCACTTGCTGTCACGTTCGGACGAGGTACAAATAACATCAAGCCACTGGATGCAATCAGTCGGGAACAAAACTAGTTGTTATACCTGGAATAATTGCTCCTTGGAACTGAGCATAATCCAGCAGAGGCTCCATTCATGTCCTCAGCTTGGCCGAGCAGCTTGAGTTGATTTTTTTATGCGCATTGCACGGATCCCAAAGTAAGAAGTAGCCACGAACACACTCACAACCTGGGTTTTAGCGAATGCGCATTTGAAGCAAAGTTTTATTTCTGATGCTGTGGGGGTTCTGTGACACAGCCTCTATCTGCTGTTGGGTTCCTGCCGAATGTTGTATTGATATAATTGTTTTCCTTTGGGGGCAGGATGGATGACGCTGAAGCCTGTTTCATCCTCAGTAGCCGCAACGAGGTGGATCGAACAGCAGCGGTACGGTAAAGCTAAACCGAATGCAACTTTCCGACCAACCTGTGAGGGAGGAGTTTGTGCAGTTAGCGGAGTTTTAGAAGCTTCCAATCTTGCAAACGGACGACAGACAGCGACCGATTTTCTAAGACAGCAACAAACGGCAAATTATATTTGTATAGTGATATCACGTCGGGAGGACGTCCCAAGTTAGGAATTTGGACCCGAGCTGGGGGTTGGGATCAGGAGGGGTGGAGGGCAGGTAGAGGTAGGAGGATGGCCGAAGGAACAGTCAAAGAGGAGTGTCTTGAGACGAGTCTTGAAGGAGGCAAGAGAGCGAGCGAGGCAAAGGGACTGTGGGATGGAGATCCAAAGGGTGGGGGCAGAGAGGCAGAAGGCCCGACCACCGATGGTAATTTGACAGACTGAAATGTAGTACCAAGACCTTATACAGTTGACAGATTAAACAGTACTTGCATAATAATTTTAACAGGCAATCTGGATTAAAGCCTGAGTGTTTAAAGTATAATTATTTATGTCTGATCACCAATGGAGGATGCTGACTCTTTTTTTATATAGGATCATCAGACCATCCTGAGGGCTTGGGCTGTGAAGGACTTTGCCCCAAACTGCCCCCTGTATGTTCAGATACTGAAGCCTGAAAATAAATTCCACGTCAAATTCGCGGGTAAGTTTTCCCCCCCCCCCCAGAAAAAAAACGTTTGTGAATTATTTCTTTGGTGAAAGGCAGAAACATTGCATGATGTAATAGCTGGCATTACAATAACTTACGTGACAATTGCTTGCATGAATTTCCCAGTCACGTATGTACAAGTGCTTGGCTTTAACTTTTGGTTAAATAATAATAATGATAAATAGTAATCCTTGCATTCGATGTCGCACCTTATCACTTCTTCTAGACGTCTCAAAGCGCTTCACAGAATACACTGTAAAGTGAATTGACTGTATTTGTGGGCAAAAGTGACTTTAGTTACTCCAATTCCCCTTCCTGAAGAAACACCATTTCCTCTATTTCTTCCCGCCAGACAAGTACAAGATTTTAAATGGGATTTAAGAACTAAGCCCAGAACAAATACTTTCAGATGCACTAAAGAGGTTGAATAAGAGGACATGGGCTTAGAGTTGCAAAAGACAATTTCAGGACGGACACCAGAAAGTATTTCTTTACCCAGAGGGTAATTAATGACTGGAAGAGGTTGCCAGGAAGGGTGGCTTTAGTCATTTCTCTTGCGACTGACTTTTTTTTCTCTCTCATTACAATCTATTTCCAGATCATGTTGTTTGTGAAGAAGAATTTAAATACGCCATGCTAGCCTTGAATTGTATCTGTCCAGCCACCTCCACTCTCATCACCTTACTGGTTCACACATCCAGGGGACAGTGAGTAGGATATTTTACACTGTTGGAAGTCACATGCATACACAGATATCAGAGGTGCCTTAAGCTGCCTCTGCAAAACAGATCATTGCAGAAACGACCCCGGAATAATAGGGCAGGCGGAACTTAGATCAATAACACAATCAAAAGCGGGATGAAGATAATCCTTGCATTTGGTGTAGCATCTTATCGCGTCTTTGAAACATCTCAAAAGCACTTCGGTGTTTTGCTGTAAAGTGTAACTATTTACATGTGAATGCAGCGTCAATTAATTGCCAATACATATAGCAATTGGTTGCCAGCTATGAAGTGAAAGACCAATTTTATTTGAAGGATTGCTGGGCAGAACACCAGGAGAAATTCCCTATCCCCCCCCGCAATAGTGCCACAGGGTATTTAACTTTAACATCCACCAGAACAGGCAGTTCAACATATCATCTGATAACAAGGTAGCACATGCTCAGTGTTGGAGAGTCAGCCTAGACTTTGAGCTCAAAAGTCCTGATATGAGGATTGAACCCACAGCCTTCTGACTTGGAGACCCAAGTGTTGCCCAGCGAACCTGGCTGACACTTCATCTAAAGATAAATATAGATAGAGGTGCAATACGATTTTACGCGGACAGATGTGGCAGCCAGTCTGTGCCAGTAAAGTGCCACCAGCGATGAATCCGATTTAAAATTGAGTAAAAGGAAAAGAACGATGGGAAGAGAGAGAGAGAGAGCGAGAGGGAAGAGAGTATTACAGTACCCTTTCAGATTTTGAGTCATCTGCAAAGACATTGTGCTTCCTTTTGCATTTGTTCATGTTATCAAATCCTGACTCATTTTAATATTCAGCAAGAAAACGCTGACGCTTATTAAAGATAAATGAGTCAACATTTTAATCAAGTTATGCAATATTGTGGCAAAAAGCCCCGACGTCCGCAGAGATTTAGCTTGCTCTAATTGCCTCGATTTTACATTCATAATGAAATAGCAGACGCTTCTGGGTAAATTGCCTTCACAAATTGCATTTGTTTCATGATGTTCGTTTCCCGCACGATTGGGGGAAGAGAGAGAGAGAGAAAAAAACAATCCCCACAAAAATTGCTCTGACCTTGTTGTCTTTGCTGGGACTCTCAATGTCTGGAGTTGGCCGTGTTAGGCAGAACAACGTCGAGCCCGTCACAGCGTTGATGAGTTGAATATCAGCGCTTCTTGTCACATATGGGACAAAGAGGGAGGGTAAAGTGACCTGAGGCGCTGTCGTAGAGCTAGGTTTTTAAGGTGTGATTTAGGAGGTAAACTAACAGCGGGTTTGCCCTGGTTGCAGGGAAGGCCAGCAGTCTCCAGAACAGTGGCAGAGAATGTACGGTCGATGCTCCGGGAACGAGGTCTACCACATCCGACTGGGCGACAGCAAGTTTTTCAGAGAGTACGAGGGGAAAAGCTTCACCTTTGCCTCCTTCCATGCCCACAAAAAGTGAGTGTCCTTTTTTTTCTTACCTTCAGGCAGAGCACAAATATTTTGCAAAGGTGCCGTAAGCTCTTTTAACATCCATCTTGGTTCGGTTTAACATCTAATAATCTTGCATTTGCACATTGTTGGGACGTCTCAAAGCGCTTCACAGAATATACTGTAAAGCGGATTGACTGTGTATTTTGTGGGTGAAACACGGCAGTCAATTGCGCACGGCAGCGTCCCACAAACAGTCGTGGAAAGATTTATCTTCCAAATTGAGATTGACATTCAGAACTTTCCAAAATTCTGCCCAATCTTATATTTTATGTCTTGGGGATACAGTTATAAAAACATCTCAGGCCTCGGAGCGATGGAAACCCAAATTCTAATGACTATAATCCTTGCATTCGGCACAGAGCCTTTCACGTCAGGAGGATGTCTCAAAGAGCTTCACAGGATTTACTGTGAAGTGTAGTAACTGTGAATATTGTAGGCAAACGCGGCAATCAATTTGCGCACAGCGATGTCCAACAAACAGCCACAAAGTCACTGAATTTTAAAACTATTCTTACGGTGTATCCTGTGAAGCGCTTTGAGATGTCTCAAAGACGTGATGAGGAGCTATATCAAATGCGAGGATTAGTATTAGTATTATTAAGTGCCGGCTGGTGGCTTCCTTTGTTCTTCAGGTACGGTGTCTGCCTGATCGGTGCAAAGAGAGAGGACAACAAAAGCATTCTGCTGAATCCCGGCCCTCGACACATCATGGTGAGCTCGGACACCTGCTTCTACATCAACATCACCAAGGAAGAGAACTCGGCGTTCATCTTCAAAGAGGAAGAGAAGCAGAAGAGGAAGGGCCTCAGTTCCGGGGGCATCTACAGCGGGCCTTCCCGGCTGCCCGTCCACAGCATCATCGCCAGTATGGGTGAGTAATCGGAGACGACGCATTAGCAAACCTCAACCGGGTTTAAGACGTGCGCTTCAGATGCACTCTGCCCTGTGGCGACCTGCTCCATGTCCTGCCCCACCATCAGCGGACGGGCTTTCAGCCTCACTGCCCCCACCCTTTCGAAGTCCATCCCACAGTCCCTTCGCCTCGCTCCCTCTCTTGCCTCCTTCAAGGCAAACAAAAGGTTTTCATGAACAACAATCGGGGAGTCTTAGCATTGTCTGTTCACTGCACACATCCTCTCACTATTACGTGTGAGAGAAGAGAACAAGGAAATGACTGGTAATTACACGCCTTTCCCCAACCTCAATCTTACAGAACAACATACATGCTGGAGAGTGGAAACTGGTGGTCCGAGTGCACTTTAGCTAATGGGTTCTTCGAAAAGACAAGCTGCCAGAACCATCCTAATGTTCTGATCCTTGTCTGCGTTTAAAGCTTGTGTTTTTTTTTGGGGTGGGGTAAGTTTGAGAAAATAAATATAATTAGGAGATGCAAGAAAACCAATATCTCTCTCCTCTCTTAACCCTCTCCACTCCTCCCATTCCCCCTCTTTTCTCCCATTCTCTCTCTCTCTTGTATCTCTCCTCTCTCACTCCTTTCCACCCCATTCCCTCTCCCCACCCCCCTTTCTTTTCGCTCTCTCTGTGTCGCTTTCCTCCGCACCAGGTACTGTTGCGATGGACCTGCAGAACACAGAGTGCCAGCCGAGCAGAGGTACCACCCTCGCCTTGCCCACGGAGAACGGAGCGGGCAGCAGGCGCCCCAGCATCGCCCCGGTCCTCGAGATAGCCGACACGGCTGCCATCCTGCCCTGTGACCTGCTCAGCGACCACTCAGAGGACGAAGTGAGCCCGTCAGACAGCGAGGGCCCACCTGCTCCTGAGTGAGTAACACCCGGACCAAAATGCTTAAGGGGTCCCAACAAGTTCTGCCACCCTCAAGACCCGTCTCAACACCCTCTTTTTCACCCTCCTACCTGCCCGCTCCCTGCCCTCCACCCCATCTGATCCCAACCCCACCCCCTCAGCTCGAGTGCGAATCCTTGACCGTCCGGCGCTCTGGCGTGTCCTCTCGCCGTGAAAGGCGCTGTACAATCGTCATTTGTGGTTGGTGGCCACTATGTGGCCCAGTGCCTTGGCCAACAATCCTTCAGATTAATTGGTCGTTCGCCTCAGCGCCGGTTCGTGAAGCTTGCGGTGACCGTCATTCACTGTAAAAGCCCTTTGAGACGCACTCTTATAAAGTCACGTCCTCTTCGAACAGGTTCGACTTCAGCACACTGTTCCAATCGGCAGCACCATCCTGTGGTTAAAAAGAGAACTGAGGATGCTTTTTTTCGGAGAAGTCTTCAGGGCAAATGCGATAGATTTCTTTGACGAAATAATATCTTGGGATCCAGTGTACCAGTTCGGGACATAACACGTGCAAGCGACTGTCGAGATGGTGGGAGGCGAACTGGGTGGACCTCGGTCTGCTTTAGTCCAGCGATTCTTATGTGCTTATGTATTCTGGTCTAGAGGCAGGAATAAGAGTGTCATTTGTATCTGTTTTTTCCCCTCAGCGATGAGAATAGAAAAGATGCTTTTTGTTGCATTTCCAGCTTGGGCCACCATTGCAATACAACACTTGCAACTCGCCAGCGATGGCTTGCCCACCGGAAATACGAGTCTTAAAGGAACTAAGCAAAGACTTGCACTTGCACAGCGCCCCTCGGGCAAGTGGGCAGTGTCTCGGAGCGCTTAAATGCAAACCAATGGATAGCAAAAGAGCATTGACCACTCAAATCACACCCCTTAAAGAAAAAATGACCTGGCCTTTTATTTCAGAAATCTTTTTTCCGTCAGGTACGTCAAAGGTTATCCCCCAAATTCTCCCTACATTGGAAGTTCCCCAACGCTGTGCCACCTGCTCCCTGTGAAGGCTCAATTCTGCTGCATAAGGTTAAACAAGGTAAGAGACTCGCAGCTTCCAGAGGTATGAGATACTTTGACATAAGCTCGGAACAGTTTCCCCACGGATACGCAATCCCTCCACTTGATTCTGTGATAAGCTTTGAAATGTTTTGATACTACGCTGGGATTATTTATAACCCACACTGGTACAGGTGTCATTAGAGATCAAGGACACAGACCTTCACCCCTTGCTATTCCAGTCCTCGCAGAGGAAATGAAAGCGAGGAGTAGACGCCTCTTGAACTGCACTGTGTACAATATTTAACGGTGGTGGAAGGTTCAGAATGATCGATGCGCTAACATGTTTTTACATGTGGAGTCCCGCAGCATAGCGGTTAGAGCACTCGCCTCGCAAACGAGAGGAACCTGGGTTTGATTCCCAGGCAGGGCAAAACCTTAAGCAAGTTTCCTTACTCCACACGCTTCTGTTTACCCAGCAGTAAGCAGGAACCTGGTTGTTTGTCGATTGGGAGAGCACTTTGTGTAAAATCCTTAAGCAAAGGACAAGATGCCTCTTAATATTCGTGGACAATTCTCACTGTATCTTGGCCAGTTTCTTGCAATTGTGCTTTTTAAAATAGAAAAACCTATTCTACAGAACAGCGTTTCAAGGTCAAGCGCAGCACAGCCCAGCGCAAAGTAAAGCTCCCTGTATACCACATTATCGGCTGCCACACACTTGTAAACATTTCCATTTATTGTGTGATCTGAACGCAGACAGAAATGAGGACGCCGCTTTCTATCGCGTTTTCAATCTGTTCCAAAGTGTCTCACGCAGTCGGGGGTGAGAGAAAAACTTATTGTATTCAATATTATACTTTCAAAAAGAAAGATACCTGCAGTAATTGGCTCGGCTGTGTGCCTCACTAGTACCGTTCTGCTGTTCAGGGATGTAAGCACAACAGTTTTGAAGATGCGAAGGCCTACGGCTTCAAGAACAAACTGATCATCGTGTCTGCCGAGACGGCTGGTAACGGGCTCTACAATTTCATTGTTCCGCTCCGCGCTTATTACAGGCCGAGGAAAGAACTGAACCCTGTCGTGCTACTGCTGGATAACCCGTGAGTGTCATTTACTGAGTCTTTAACACTGAGGGAGGGAGACTATGGGGGTGTAAGGGCGTAATTTACTGTCGCTGTGAATTTCTCCACCGTCCGAGGCCTGACCGACTGGTAGAATATCATATGTTGGTTTGATTTGAAGGTAAAATATTGAATACAATAAGTTTTTCTCTCTACATATATACGTATATCCATCCATTTTGCAGGCCAGATAACCACTTCCTTGAGGCGATATCCTGTTTTCCGATGGTCTATTATATGGTAGGAAATATTGACAAGTAAGTAATTGTGTGTTAATCGTAAGCCAGAATTAACACGCTCACTCAGCAGAGACACACTAACGACTGACTAACAAGAAAGCGAAGAATTTTTAATCTAACACAAGTCCTGGCCATTATTTCGCGCTCATCAAGAATCAACCCAACAAAAGTGTTTCTTTCAGCACTAGAGGGGTGGGGTTTGTGTGTGAGATTCTCTGCCACAAACACGGTAATTGAAGCAGGGTCCGTAAAGTGTATTAATAAGGAATTAAACTGTATTAAAAGGTGCAAGTAGCGCAGAGGGTAATGGAGGTTGAGAGGCTCGTATGTGTGTGTGATGTGTGTTTTTAAAAAAATGTAACTTTGATGAGACAAAGAAAGTAAATTCAGAACAATAGCAGTACTTTCACATCGAAGGCAGCAACACAACAGGGTTCAGGAATGTGAAGGGCAATTTTTAGAGCAGACGCCGAGGAGTATTTGTTGACACAATAGCTGGACCGAGATTACTAGCGGGGGTGGTTGAGATCAATACAAGGGGCTGGTTTGGGAAACAGCTGGTTGCTATTAATGGGGAGGTGGTACAGCAGAGACTCTAAAAGGATGAGATCAAAGGGCCTTCTTCAGCTGAACATCTCTCGTGGTGTAATAAGAAGGCCTTGGGACGTCCTCCCGACATGAAAGGCCCTATACAAGTGTAATTTGTTGTTGTTGCGAGATATTATGTTCCCAGTTGTTTAGTTGCCCGGCTGTTCAGTTCAAACAATCAACCGTCACTCTGTGGATCTCTTTCTTCCTCTCCCCTAAGCCTGGACAATCTCCTGCAGTGCGGAATTATTTACGCTGATAACCTGGTTGTGGTGGACAAGGAGAGTACAATGAGCGCAGAAGAGGATTACATGGCAGACGCCAAGACCATTGTCAATGTGCAGACTATGTTCAGGTAAGAGCTGTCTGTAACAAACGTGTCCTAACTTCACACCAGTTACCAGCGATTCGAAACAAGGTTTCTTAACAACAAATCTGAGATATATTTGAGGTCTCCTTAGGGAACCAGAAGTCCACCCTGACGGGATCCGCTTTCAGAGCGGCTCTGTACATCGTGAGCCCCTGTCTAGTCAGTGGAAGGAATCCCTGTTTGCAGCTCGTGTTCTTTGCTGAAGAATTCCCTGTGAAATTCCACTTTTAAATCCCCTCTCTCTCTCCCCGTCCAACAGTAGACTGTTAATGTACAGTCGTAAGAAATGTGGGGTTTGAGCAGTGAGTTCAGGTCAATTGCCTCCCAACTTGATAAACGCAACTTTTATATTGTATTGTGTGATCATGCTGGACTTTAGTTTTCTCTTCCTTTTCCTCCAGATTTCACACCTTAAACCTCCCTATTAGACAATATACATGAAGTATGAACTGTTACATGTTTTTTCCATGGCTAACTAAATCTATCTTAAAGTTGATGGGGTTTGCCTCGTATTTCAGGTTGTTCCCCAGCCTCAGCATCATCACCGAGTTGACGCATCCATCAAACATGAAGTTCATGCAGTTCAGAGCGAAGGACTGCTACTCCCTCGCTCTCTCCAAATTGGAAAAGGTGATTCCTCTTGTGTTCGCTCTGTGGCTGAGACGTTGTGTATTGTGGCTCCTTAGCAGCTTCTGACGTTGCTCATGACACAAACGTTGCTGAATATATCTTTAACTTTAGCTCTTTGTTGGTAGACGGAATCGCTTTCAAGGGTTTTCAAGTTGCCTGCGTCACAATGACCACCTCCGCTCACTTTCATTCACAGCCTGACTGACGTTAGTTGATGCCTCAGGCTCGAATAACACTCTCAGCTTGTGTATCAAGGCATAACCTTGCGGGAGCAATAATTGTGCCAAGCAGCAGTGTTGGGACAGAGTGGTCTGAAACCTTCTTGCTGTTAGGAAATGCCCTGAAAGGCCATTCAAACAACCAACAATAACGAGAATCAAGAGACTTCTAACTCAGCCCAAGGTTAAGCGAGATTATACTGCGTGAGCTCAGGAACATTGCGGTCACCAGGCTCTGTGTTTCTAGGAGTTGATCAAAGGAGAAAATATTAAAATGCCCTGAATTTCAGTTAACCTTGAGGGTGATTTTCCAAGAGTGTTGCAGACATCTCCCAGTTAGATTCAGGGCACCCCTCCACCCCATCTCACACACACCATTGCACCAGCATATGTCAAATACATAACTGGACACTTAGCATTTGCCTCTCCCACACCCACCCCCATTGCTCTGCGATTTTAATAACCAGAAGGTGATTGTTACACTTCCTACCTGTGGCTTCACTTCTATTCCACAACCTACAAGGAGATGCCTTATAGGACCATCCTGCTCCACACAGGTCAGCTGTATTGTTGCTGTCCCACAGTCTAATGAATGGATGCTATTCAGACTGGTACCAATGGCTTGGGTGGGGTTTTTGTTTGGTGCAGAGCCTTGGGCCGTCCTCCCGACGTGAAAGGCCCTGTACAAATGCAATTTGTTGTTGTTTATGCTGGTGTTTTCCATTTGTCACCCAACAGAAGGAGCGCGAGAATGGCTCCAACCTGGCATTTATGTTCCGCCTCCCCTTTGCGGCTGGAAGGGTCTTCAGCATAAGTATGTTGGACACCCTGCTCTACCAGGTCTGTATCAGGTCAGGTTCCCTGCATCTTTGTCTCATGCTTTCGTTCCCCAGTGGCGCATACAGATCTGCCCCTGTTGTGTGTGTTGATAGCACATGTTGTCCCGATCTGTGTCCTGCGCCTGACTTTGAGAATAAGAACAAGACCAGAATTTTGAATGACTGTCCCCTTTATTCTGAAAAAATAATGCAAAGTCTAGCAATGGTTTCAAATCTTTGCATTTCCTTTGCAGTCCTTTGTTAAAGACTACATGATTCCCATTGCCCGCTTGTTACTAGGACTGGACACCACCCCCGGCTCTGGCTACCTTTGCGCAGTAAGTACCCAAAGCAGAAATCCCATTTTAGCGTCAAACAAAACTGGATGTCTGTTTGTATCAATGTCTTGTACACATTCTATACTTTTGTATTCAGTGTTCCCTCATGTCCCAGTCACTTTAGCTTTTTCTGCCTCCAACTCCATTTTAAATTAATTTCTACAGATGTTGAATGATTGGTACAGTACAACAATGGCCTTTGAATCTGCACAGAGCTTCTTTGTTTGTTGGTCTGTGTAGGATTTATCGTCGAGGATGTGGGAATGACACAGATTAGCTGAGCTGTTTGCCAAAGTATAAAGAGATTCAAAGGCATTTCTCATTAAGAAATGGAAATACTGCATATTAGACAGTCATGATACAAGGCTCTGTGTAAAATACTGGTCTACAATATCAGTCTGCAGCATGTCGAGTGTGATAATGTACAGTTTCAATGCAGGGTTTTATGATCTGCAAACACGATAATGTGAGGAATCTTTTCCTAACTGGGAGCTTGATGTTAAAAAAAAGTCTAGTGTGTAACTTTCCTGTCCGGCAAACAAGTGTTGATCAGTCAACAGTATGGCTCAGATTCAGTAATCTCTCTCTGGGATGCTAAATAAATGCAAGTTGCTGTTGTAATCTGCCCCACCGTGAGCTCTGATCAGTGTGTCCTTGTACTGGGTCACTGTACGTCTCCTGCCTTTGTTTCTTAGATGAAGATCATCGAGGAAGATCTGTGGATCCGGACCTACGGCCGACTCTTCCAGAAACTCTGCTCGTCCAGCGCGGAGATTCCCATCGGGATTTACAGGACGGAGTCGCACATGTTCTCCACGTCTGAGGTGGGAGGTCACATTGCTGGATACGCTGCTGTTCTGTGCTGTTTGTGGGTGATCGCTGTGCTGCAAATTGACTGCCACATTCACCCACACAAAAACACACAAGCACGAACTTTAAGAAGGGGAGTGGGGGATATTTTCTTTCTTCCCCTTCCCTTAATCTACACACTGTTCTTGGGACTTCTCCAATGCTACTCTTTGACTGACTGATTCAAGAGTTGTGCTCATGCAACCACAGTGACAGAGCACAATCAAATGCAAATAATATTATTTGCACCTTATCACATTGTTGAGACATCTCAAAGCGCTTCACAGACTATACTGAAAAGCCAATTGACTGTATATTTTGTGGGCGAAACGGAGCATCTTTTTGGGGTTGTGGTTATTAAACTGTCCACGTAAGCAGGTTACAGTTACATAGGAAATGCTGGAGGAGTTGAGAAGCCAGTGGAGCAACGTTCAATGAAATTCCGTTTGTTAACCCCCTTCTCGTAGTCGCAGATCTCGATCAATGTCGAGGAGTGTGAAGATACAAGAGAAACAAAGGAACCCTGGCCTGGCAAGTACCACAGGAACTCCACCTCGAGTGATCAGTCAGAGCACCCTCTGCTGAGACGCAAGAGCATGCAGTGGGCTCGCAGGCTGAGCAGGAAAGGAAACAAGCAGAACAACAAGACGGGAGACAAGACCAACCAGCAGCAACTCAACATATACCAGCGATCAGAGAGGCAAGAGTTGTCTGAACTAGTGAAAAACCGAATGAAGCATTTGGGTTTACCTACAATAGGCTACGGTAAGTGTGGCTCCCTTGGAAACGGTTTGAGATCCAATGTGGTGATGAAGTGGTACGATAATAATAGCACAGGCGTACAAAATCACGCTGTCTCATCTCTCCTGGGAATGTGAGTAAACTACACTCGGTCAATTGTGAATTACAGCAGAGCGAAACAAATTTCAGTGATGGATTTTTTTTCATTTTGTAGATTTGTTCCATGGCAGGGTGCTGCTTTTATGCAAGAATCGAGCTCTCTAATACAATTGGAAACAGCGCTATTTAGTCATTTTAATCTAATTGAATGCGGTTTGAGGAATGATAAGCTGTTGCATGGGCAAAAAGAATGATTTGTAATGGAATTTATTTTTAATATCTACATCGCTGCTTCCTATCAAAGCGAGGACTGCTGTGGGAAATGATTCCAAATTAATTGTAAAATCTACAGAGGCATTTTTGTTAATTCGTGGTGCAAATATCGCACAACTTTATTTGGTTATTGGCTGTGGCCTTGTGTGAATAACACACACTTACCTGTTGTACTGAGTATTCAAGTGGCCTCCCCAGCCACTGGCTCCTCTCGATGACTGCCTGTATCACATCAGATACAAGTGACTGCAATACTGTACCTTCGGTTAGCCTTAAACCTTAGGAGGAACCCACATTACTCGTGCCAACACAGAGTATTTGAGCCTATAGATGTGGGATTGTTTCGAGAGTTGATTCTCATTGCTGAATAATTGTCTCTGAGCAGCTAAGTCCACTGACGGGCGAAATAAAGTGTCAGCTGGACACACCCCATCCCCACCCTCTCGTCATAGGCACTGCTGTGTTACACAAGTCTGAATCACTAACGTGCACGATCCACAGACAAATGATCTTTCGCTCACAAAATATACAGTCAATTCACTTTACAGTATATTCTGTGAAGCGCTTTGAGATGTCTCAAAGACGTGATAAGGTCCTATATCTAATGCAAAGATTATTATTATCTTTAGGTCAAGGTTGTTTTGCTAAACGCGAGGAAACAAGACCACTTTTTTTTAAGAGTAAATAACATTTTATAATTATTTATGTTTGTTTAATGCGTTATTAATTTACCTCCTACCCTTTTGACTTGGAACATTTCCCACAGCAGTTTTTTTTCTCTCCAACTGCCTCCTTGCTTTCCCTTTCCTCGAATTTACTCCCCTCTTGCTGCAGCAAATTACCTGTTGTTGAGCTCTGACCCAACCACTTTCTCTCTCTCTGTGTATCTGTGTGTGTGTGTTCTGTAGAGGATGTAACAAATTTAACAGCAAGTGATGTGATGAATCGGGTAAACCTTGGATATTTGCAAGGTAAATTCTCTCCCTGGTAACAAACACAAAGCGACCCTCCACAAACACTGTATACACAAGAGATGCCAATGTTGAAAACAGTTGACCCTGCACTGTTGCCCACTAAATTTGAGAACCCCAATACTCCAATGGTTACCGTATGCTCGCTCCTCCAGGACAGTGGGTTGTATTAAACATTTTCACTCAGTTATAGGGAAAACCAGTAAACCGTAGCATTGTTGCGATGTATTATTTCCCCGCAGTGTTTTCTACAGCTGAAAATCTATACATTTTAAACCTTTAAGGTGTGGAATTAGTGTGAATACCTTTGGACTGCAAATGAAATAGTATAGACCATTCAAATGCACGCAATAATTCCGCCCAGGCACAGAATCCCTTTGCAGCTAAAACTACAGCTGCTCCTCTTTGTTAGTCTGATGAAAATGATTACTTGGGCACATTATTGCACGTCCTACTTAAAGCCCCGGTCTGTAAATGTATCCGCAGGTATCCGTCTCCACATATAGTGCAAATATCTCATTTACATCACTTAGCAATGCATATATTCTGAAAATTTTCAACCCACTGATTGTCAGCCGGTCTCTATTTTAGCAGCTAGATATGAGTACTTTCTATACACATTGAACGCAAGAAATTATTTCTTCTCTCCAATTAAAAGTCTAGGTTACCTGTTGTGAATATTGGCATCGCTCTCTTACAGTGTTCTTTTACGTATTGCACTGATGGGCCCCCAAATAAAGTTTCATGGAAGTTTCATCCCACATCCACATTATCATCAGTCAGTCACCCGTTCCCCATCCCATTGTCCTGTTTTTCCAGGGAAGCAAAGTCAAAAGCATGAGGCCCCAAATCTCAGCTGGTCTTAGTCTTGAGACTATTATCTTGAGATTTAAGGTTATGAGGAATTTTGGAAAACCATTTTAAACCACCCCTAGATCAGCAATCAGGGCAATCATAGTTAAAAAATACATATAATTATTATTTGGACACTTGGAGATCAGCTGGAATCCATCAACAACCAAACTCGGTCATTCAACTGATGTAATCACCAGAGAAATGTTTAATTTTAAGGCACAGGGATAAGCAATGTACCTGAAATCTCTAAAATATCAAATAATTTTAGCTTCATCTTCCTTTGAACAAATCTCCTCCTTCCACAATCTAGCGATGATATTGAACACCACTGAATGGGGCAGGAGAGTTGTTGGGGAAAAAAAATGAAGGTGCCCAGTATTCGTGGCAGCATGGTTAGAGAGCTGGCTAAAAGACAGAAGAGGAAGTGTGTGGATGCTTTTCAATCGGAAAAGGGAGCTTTTCTATTCCTGGCTGACATTAGGCAAGTTGGTCAATGGGACTAAATCTGCCCAAGTGTTAAGCAGGACTTGATTATCCAGCACCTCGCTCATTTGCTCTTTGAGAAATAATAGAACGTTCCTTCTGTGATCTGCCAAGTTTTCCAACACTGTATTGTTCTTAAAAAGCTTAAAACACATCACCTGCCCCACCCCGTACAGATCACTGAAAAATCAAGGCTCTTGCTGTTTCCTATCTGTCTGCATGTCCGGTCAGTTTAAATGAGCTATTCTCCAAACTTCCATGTGACTGCAATGCCCATTATCGGACAAGCCAAAGCTTTGGGGCCCTACAAAGCGAAATGCACTGCTTTCTGTTCTGCATTCAGCACCCAAAGCGGCTCCCCCCTCGTGTAATAACTTGTTATAACACACCTAACGCTTAACCTTCATATATCAGTCGTAACCCTAACGCTTTGACTGATGGACGGTCAATGCTTTAAAGAGACAATAGTTCAAATATCAACAGAATTGTTGAGTAATTTCCCTGGAAAGATTTAACATGCATCTTGCTTAATTATCATCATACTTTAATAGAAAAAAAGGAGGATGGTTTGGTGTGTTATAAAAAACATTATGCAATTATTTTTAATGTTTACTTCTGTCTGTACAGCGTTTATTGAATTAGATGTTTTTTTTCACATGTATTGTGACTGATACTATTACACACGGATACTTTCCAGTGCTGCATTTTGGGCACTTGGCTAGATTGAGTAAAGGTTTTCCAGAGTTCTAGCATGAAACGTGGGTGAACAAAAATTAATGCCTTTTATGTTTCAACAGCTACAACTTAAAAACCCAAACCTTCTTCGTGTTTGCTTTCTACACGTATTTTGTGAGGCAGTTCGCTATTGTACACCTGAGGAATACACTACATCTCCAATGCCTCCCTCCCCCACCCAACATATAGCCATTTAAATTTGGATTTTGTTGAAGTTAATGCATTTGCCCCGATGGCTTGGCCTCGAGTCTGAAGGTTGTATCATTATCTAATGCAAAGTATTATTATTTGTTTACTAATACTTGCATTGAATTATGAGGAGTGGGAAGAGACCACTCTTAAAACTTTGCAGTGTTTTTATTGTTTTTTTTCAAAAAGTGTGTATACATTATGTGTGTGTGTGTGTGTATATATATGCACACACAACAAATCACACTTGGGAAAGACATCCCAGGGCGCTGGACAATCGGGTTTTGGACCTCAGCTGGAAGTTGGGGTTTTATATAAAAGCTGTAACAGAAATTCGGTTTTGCAATTCTTATATTAAATGCAAGTTATTATTAGACCAGGACGGAGGTCCCTGGATTGATCTGAGCCAAGGGACCTCAGCGATTTGGGGCAAGGGAAGAGGACTAAAAATCAGCCAAAGAAGATGCAGTTTTCTTTCAGGGGAGGCGATGGTAGTGTGGCATACTTGCAGTTACCCCAAATGAGGCCCAACTCATTTATTCATTCAGGAATCCTTGTTAGAAGAATCCTGCACGTATACCCTTGGGTGAGGGCACGATCGAGCTTAGTTGTGATGCGCACACACACTTCAGCTAGATTTATATTTTGCATGTTAAAAGATGTACAAAGAAATATTGATGCCTTGGAATTTTAGTTAAGTTTGTTTCAGAGTTCTTGAAACTAAATAGACAGTGAGAGAGAGCTGAGGAAGCCACTGGCTGTTCTTGTGTGTCTAAGTCTGTGTTTATGGTCTTGCCTGATATTTTTTCCCTTATCTTCAGATGAAATGAATGATCATCAGAATACATTATCGTACGTTCTGATTAACCCTCCTCCTGATACACGACTGGAGCTGAATGACATAGTGTACGTATGGTGCTGTTAGAGAATAAGAGAAACATCCCTGTATGGCCCTTTCCATGCTGTACATGGAAAAAAAATAAGAATTTGGTCACTCAATCCACAACTATTTGTGGGACACTGCTGTGCGCAATTTGCTGCCACACTTTGCCCACAAAATACAGTCAATTCACATTACAGTATATCCTATGAATTGCTTTGAGACGTCTTGAAGACGTGATAAGGCGCTATATCAAATGCAAGGATTATTATTATTCCTTGTAAATCTATGTGGAAAACAGAAAAAAAATCTGTCAAACTAACCCTAGTTTTGCCTGTTTTGAACAGGTACCTGATCCGCTCTGATCCTTTGGCCAATGTACAGAACGGTTCACACAGCGACTCAAATCAGCCGGATGTTTCCACTGAACAACCCAGGAACGAGACGCAGTTATGATCATTGGGTGTTGCGCACACAGTCTGCAGCCACACACCTTGACTTTAGGAACATGAGTAGGCCATTCAATTAGATTATGGCTGATCTGTACCTCAACTAATCCTTTCCTTGACTTTACTGAGAAGGAAACGACGCACTTAAACCACCTCCTAAAATGTCTCCGGCCACCGAGCTCTAGGAAACGTGGGGCAAAGCATTCGAGGGAAGGCAACTCTGATTGATCCTTTCTCACCATTTCCCCCAGAGAAAAAAAAAGCTGTCCGGTTTCTAAGTTGAAACGCACTCTTCTGTGGGTCAAGCCATTCCGTCTGTTGTTGGGAAAGCAACGGATTTTAACAAAACTTGAAGCACTTGAAATGTGTCAGGAATACAAATGTTATTTAATCGATAATGCGTACCTTCAGGACGCACCATAGGGCCTGTTTTGCACTGTTTTGTACTACGCAGGGCACAAGCGTGTATTTTATTAGCTGTGAAAATGTAATTCTATTTTAATTGCGAGTGGCGCCGGGGAGAATCGTTGCAGTGTGGGCAACAGACCATTACTGGGAACCTGATGCTGACCGAGACTCTAGCACTTGCATGTGTTCTGCTTAATAGCATCGATCTGTCTGCTCACCAGGTGGCTTAGTCACTGTGCCAACAATTTCCCCAACTATCTGGGAATACCTGAAGCTTTACTTGGAGGAAGAAATACAATTCCTCTCTTCCTTGGTGATTGAGAGAGGAAAAAAAAAACTAAAGGAGATTTTTTTTTGGATCCGTGGGACTTGAGTCAAAGCCATTGCAGGTAGACTGACTGTCTGAGGTGCTGCATCCATGCTCCTACTCAGTGCGAAGTGCCACCTTCCTCTTTATCCAAGCACCAGATACCAAGCTCACCCAAAACAACACTGTCAACTTTGAATTTTGCAGCCCAGTTGTCTTACAGCAGCCCCTTCCCTTCCCCAATGATCAATGTGAAATGTTATTGAGAGTATTTTTCCTGCCTGTCGCCAAACTGACCCCCATTTGTTTTAATGCTGTGATCATACTGCTGGGTTACTTTGAAAGTGTTCTCTTTTTCAATTGCCCCCTCTTTTACGTGGCAGTGATGGTGCGAAACTGGGGACTATTGATTTGAAAGACCGCTTAAAATGACTTTGCACTGATTGAATGAATAGAATTGCTTGCTTATTTATCCAGGTACCATTATAGTCTGAGTAATAGAACCCCCTTGAACAGAAACAGCTTCTTACTGTTAACCCCACAAATAAGTGGAGAGGGCTTGCGAGCACCTGGAGAGCTCAGTCACTTTTCCTGGCTGTCAGCCTTTCTGAACAAAAAATAATTCAACTGCTTTTTTTTTAACAAAATTGCCCAACTAATGCATTTAAATTTTTGATCTGATGAGCACAGCATTTGTAGACCAATAAGTTGGTTTTCTCATCTATCTTTTTATCAATAGTATTAGTTTCAACCATAGTGGGGGGCGTCAGAGAGAGGGAGTGGTGAGTAGAGTAACTGTATTGGTCGTGAAGGAGAGGCAGATTATAGGTTTGTACAGTTATGCCCTCTCCATGTTATAGTGTTCCTGGTCTTCACCAACTTGATGTAGCACTGAGAAGCTAGATTCTCACCTCTGCCCCCCCCAGCATCTAGCCCAATCTTGTTAACATCTTAACAGCACTCCCCTGCTCATATTTCATACCTTATGGTATTTACGGAGTCTGACTTCAAAGAAATGTCCGCACCCTCACAATGGATGTGGTACCTGTGTTGTATATAATTTTCTGTTTACTGCAGTTTACATCTATTCTCAAACTCAACTTCACAATTGAAGATTGATATTATCTTGCTGGAGTACCTTGAACGGTATGATATAGAGGGTGAATCGCAGAGTTTTTTTTTATGATCAATTATGTTCTTGTTTTAAGACAACATTTGTACAGTGTGCGGCTGTTACAGGAGATGTCTTTCATTGCGCGCGTGAAAGTTTCTGTCACCGAGTTGAGGTGTAAACGTCAACGTGGCAGGCAGTTTGAACATCTGAGTAAGGACTTTTGATTCACCCTGTGTACTTGTTTGAAAAAATTGCTTTCCTCCAAATATCTGATCACAAGAAACAGCTTGACATTAATTAGCAGGATCACAGCAGCCACCAATCTATCTGGATTTTACTTTGATAGGTGTAGCAATTTGTGTGCGATGTTCCCCTTCAATTTCTCATGTCAAATCAAGACAGCGTGTGCTCATGATGTTAGTCAGTTGCTTAATCCCTCCTTTACTTCCTCAAGATCCACAGATTGTGTTGTTGTATTCAGGGGAGCCACATTGTGTGCTGTTGCATGGCCACAATCAGTGATAGAATAACCTCCACTGTGTTGTATTGGATGCAACACTCACTGTATTGGGAAGTCCATGAAAGCATTGAAGGAATCAGGATTCGCACATCATCGGGAGAGAAAATGAGCAAGTGCCATATACATAGCAGCTTTGGAGGAAGCTATTTGCCATATCATATACAAGTGATGGTGCCATTCCATCCATTGCAACGACTGTAATACTAACGTTCTTCACTTTTTATTTCAAACAACTGCCACTTAAACAAAGCTGCTCCTGAACCTGTCAGGCCTCACCGGTGACTTGAGGTGCATCTCAATTGCCATTTCTTCCAACACAACCTTGAGCCTACTCGCGAAGTAGTCAGTGAAACTGCCATGTCTAACACTGCCCCTAACCATTAAGACCCACTGGACACAGAGTAGGTGTTTGCTTAAAGTGCTCCAGGCTGCTACCCTGCATGAAGGGTGCTATATAAATGCAAGTTGTTGTTGAGATGCATAGTCACTACACTTTGCTGAGAAGAGCATGATATCAAATGCGATTATTCTAGCTCAATCATATCGCAGCTGGTTAATTCCAACAAAAGGCAATTAAGCACCTTACTTGCACTTTCCTCACTCCATAAATAGCTGAGAAAAATAAAACCTGGATTTGAACTCTTTCAGTGCATGCCCTTTCCTTGCAATCGCAACCACAATATTGAAGGTGTTTGCTAATCTTTTGCATCTTGTAGCTTATTTGCCAATCTTCAGAGTAGAAAATGCATTGATTTGAAATGTTACTTTTTTTGTACAGTTCTTATATGAAGTAAAGATGCTTCATGTGTATGTATGTACAAATTGCAATAAATAAGCTGCATGCAGCAAAGGGACTGACTCAAGTGTTTGGGTTCTTATATCAATGTTATTTGTAATACCCGATCACCAGAAGGGAGCACATAATAACCATTAGCGCAACTTTCATTCCTTTAGTGATTTACTTTCTTTGCTATTGGAAATTAATATTAAATTAATATTAATACCTGAAGCTGGAACCCAAAAAATATAAAGGCAGCATATACATATATATATCTCAAATCCACATGGTTAGTTTGCTGGCCCGATCGCAATTAATCTACGTTGTGGGAATAAGTAACGGATCAGAGAGTAACTACTGTGAGACCAGTTAATGTTTATGAACAGTCAGCAAGAGAATATGGAGGCCAACAAAGGTATGAGCTGGACAACTGAGAGGATGCTCTTTTTGGATACCGCAACAATTGGATTCACAGGCTAAAAGCCTGGAACCAGGGATGGTTTGGGGCGCTATATAAATGCAAGTTGTTGTTGGTGGTCATTGAGCCTGCTCCTGCCACAAACCACCACCTCCACTACCCCAGACATCAGAAAATCACTTGCGACCCACATCAGGAGGAGAGTCACAGAATCACGCTTACAGTTTTACTTAGTGGAGTTCGGAGGGGAAACTTGCATTTGTACAGCAACTTCTTTATGCGGGTGAGGGGGGTGGGGGTCGTGCCATGGAATACTATTAAGCTAATTAGGCAATTTTTCACTTAATTTTAGTCCTGGCTCAAATGGAACAAGAGACCAGACAGGTGATTCTACAAAATCCACATCCTGATCAGGGCTGCCTTTCAGCAGATAAACCACCTGCTAATTACTTCCTAAACCTGCTCGAACAGAGTCGACCTAAACCCGCAACATCTCCCACAGAAACTGCTGCAAAGGGATCCTCCGCAATCCCGAATTCAGATCGATCCATTCTCGCAGTCCAACCCTGGCTTCCTTTCCTGCACCCAACACAACGCCTTACAGAAGCCAACAAGCAAAGGGCATTTTACAAGCAACTGTTTATTGGAACAAGTTATAGCAACATGTGCAAACCCCCCCACCCACCAGCCCCTGTCCTGCAGCAGTGATCACACCGAGCAAACACATTTACCTTTGATAGCAACAATGATGGGGGGTCCAATCTGACTGGAATCACCAGGTGGATGCTGTGCGCAAAGATTTTGACACGACCTACAAACACCAATTCCACACCGTCTCTACACGAGGGAGTACAGTTTGAGTTGTCTTCAATGCTAACACACTTTGCCCCCTCTCTCTCTCACACACACACACATATTCTTTGGAGAGAGAGAGAGTTAGAGAGTCAAAGGGGGACATTCTTTGAGACGTCCTCCCCCATCGCCAAAGGCGCAGTGCAAACGGTGTAGTTATTTATAACGATTGATTCTCTGGTCCGAACGGTTTGGCCCTAAAACACAGTTATAGAGTTTGATCCCATCACACATTAAACAACTATAAGCCCAGACTGTGCATTGGGGGTGGGGGACACACAAAGTTATTTCATTCCAACTGGACAATCAAACGTGTGCTTCAGGTTACAGAGCGCGTTAATGACCATCAGCTCACTGTCCGCGGAGAGCTCCCGTTCGCTGGGGCGGGTGCGGTAGCCGACTCTGGGGGTCCAGTCCCGGCTTGAGGCGCCAGGGCCAGTGGGAGGGTGTGCCACCTCTGGTGGCTGCTGTCTCGGGGCCGGTCGGTCGAGCACCGGCCAAAGACCTCCGGGACTCCCCCCCGGCTCCTTCCCAGCGCCACACCCAACGCAGCAAAGGCGAGACCCCCCCCTCCCACAAAGCCGCGCCACACGGAGTCCCACTCAGGGAAAGGAAGACGGACTCCCACCTTTTGCTGGAACAGCCCGGGATGAGATGCGTGAATCCTTCTCCCTGCGGGTGGCACGGCGGGGGCTTCCCCCGGGCAAGGCCGGTCCTCTCCCCGGTCCTGTCCCCACGAACGCGTCGAGCTTGCGCTGCACCCTCAGGCTGGTGTCTGGCCGGGGGTGGCTTGGGAAGGCTCGGGGTTGGCTTGGGAAGGCTCGGGGTTGGCTTGGGAAGGCTCGGGGTTGAGGAGACGCTTTGAGCCGTGTCCCTCTCCAAGTTGCGAGCCCTCGTCCCGTCTCCAGAGCGGCTTTCTGGTGGGACCTTCTCCCCCACCGGCCTCACAACTTGTGTGCAGGGAGAGGGGGGAGGGGGAGGGTCTCTGGTGCTGACTGGATTCAGGTGAAACTCTTTGGTGCTCTGATGGCATTGATTGCCTTCACCTGCTGCCAATTTGCAAGCCTGGAACTGTGTCCAGTTGTCCACCTCCCACTGGTCCACTGCACAGCCCCGACCCGTGTTCTTCAAGGAACCTGCCAACTCGCTCGCCCTGCATTCTGCCCCTCGTCCCTCTCCCGTTAAATACAACAACCCGTTGTAGTCCTCCTCAACACAGCGCCCAGCGCCTCCTTGCCCTAATGCCCTCCTGCCCTCTCTCGCCCGCTCACTGTAAATTCCTCTGCTGAAAAGGGTCGATGCTTCTTGTGCGCAGGAACTTGGAGGGAACGCGACGCGACTAACGCAGAGAGAACTCAAGCCCTGCAGACTGACAACCCCTGCACTTAACCCACCGTTTCCAGCCCATGCATCGCCAAAGTTGGGACAATGGACATGCGCATCCCCATCTATTTCCAGTGATGATAGTTCGTCCTCTTCCTCCTGCCTGCTTTGCGACACCAGAGATTCAGGAGTTAATTGGTCTTCCCTCATTAAGTGAGCATTCTCTATTGGAATCAGCTCCTTGGGACGTTCTCCTGATGTGAAAGGCGCTATACAAGTATAATTTGTCGGTGCGGGAGGTATGTCCTCCTCTACCCTTCCCTTAGGCTTAGATTCAACCTCCAATTCCAATTCCATGTCACCTGTAACTTCATCAGACACCATTAGAGTCAACTTAAGGCTACCAATCTCCCTGGCTTGGGTTTCCCATGAGCTTACAGAGCTGCCATTGGGAGCTGGCTTCACGTTGACCAGTTTCAAGGCTCTGGGGCACATCTGCTCCTCTTGATCTCTTCCCCCTGTTTGATGGGTACCTGGAGAGACAGGAGTCTCTGGAGTTGGTAGAATGTCGACCTTCTCACTTGTTAACTGACTTCTTCCTTTTTCAAACTCACACCCCAACGTTGTAGATAGCATTGGCGAGCTACAAGTTGTACCTGTAAGATTTAGTATGAATAGAATCAAAAGCTAACGTTTGGTAACAAACTACTGGTTGTGGCTTTTATTTTAACAGGCAACCTTTTTAAACACAACACAATTCAGCTTTCTGAGCTTTTTTTTAAATGAATGACAGACTTCTTTCCTTTAAGATATTTTCTCTCTTCCCCTAATCATTACACTACTGCATTCACTTCTCCCTTCATTGCATTGTATCTGGATATCCCAGTGTCTGCAACAGAGAGATTGAGAGATGTTGTTGAAGTGACTTGTCTACTCACACCTTCCTTTTCTAATTGCCCAATGCTCCTGTGTTAAGGACATTCCCCAAGTCACTCAATCCGCAATTGTTTGTGGGACGCTGCTGTACGCAATTGGCTGCTGTGTTTCGCCCCCAAAATATACAGTCAATACAATTTACAGTATATTCTATGAAGTGCTCTGAGACTTCTCTATGATGTGATAAGGCGTTATATTAAATACAGGTATTATTATTATGTGGGAACTCTAAAGAGGGAGTATGAATCTCGGTCAATGTTCCCACTCTCTAATCCAGGAGTCCCGAGGCTCAACTTTTCACTCATACCAGAGGACGTGGCATTTACATCACAACCAAAATAAGCATATTTACGGTAGGATGATGTAACAAGTTAGTGGTTTTAACTTTAAGTTAACCACAAACACACACGCACAGCACACAAGGTTTGTGTCTTAAACACTGTCTATGTTATTTCTTTTCATCCTTTGCCCTTGCGACAGCCTCGTTAACAGGTTCCCTCTCAGCCGCTCATTATTTTTAAGGAGCTCCTCATCAAGTGGAGGTTTAGAAGGATTGGTGTCAGTTGCCTTTGGTTCTCGCCTCAGAGTAGGATTTTCTGTTCTCCTTCCATGTGGCATTTCTCTAATGACTGCACCAGGCCTGTACTCAGCACAACAACATGAATGGTACTTTGATGTCCTTGCCCTGCTTTCTGCCTGGAAACATGAACCAAAACTACCTTCTTTGGTAAATTCCTTTACTTGATGTTCACATCGACTCCGGCCAAATCTTTTATCACGTCCTGGAGTACTGTGATGAGCATCTTGAACACTCCCTTCCTTAACAACCCATTCACAGCCGGTTTCTAATGTAAGTTGGCAGATTGCCACTTGTGGATCTAATCCTCCAGTACCCTCTGCACCACAGAGTTGGGTATTTTCATCTCTGTGAGATCTTTGCAGCTCTTGTGTCATGGAATTTGTTGGAACCTTTGAGGATTTTTGTATTCTTGTTCCACTAATTCCTGGTTTACTGGCATCAGGACTGACAAGCTCCAACAGTCCTCTCTCATGCAAAGCACTGGTATCTTCAGCTGCTGGTGAACTGTCAATCAATCCAATGGCATTCCTAGGATTATTTATTGATGGACACTCATTTTCCTTCATCTCACTCAGCTCTTCATACATTGCACAACTTGCCGCAGACCCCTCTAACATCTCAGTATCCAAGTCTTCGAGTGGTCCCACAACTTTGACTTGCTTCAAGTTCGCAGTTTGGATTCCCCATTGGCACCTTGTGGCCTCATTGTAGAGCTTGAAGACTTCATTGAGACCTGTTGGACCTTCACCTCCCAATGAGTTATTAGGAGTTTGGTTATAAATCTCTGTAAACGTCTGATCGGTGCTGATTGAAAACTGGATAGTGTTTCCCGACAAGTTGTCTGGGTGTGATGGCAGGATCACTTTCTCATGGAGATTCAGGTGACTGTTGAAAAAGGGACCATGCTCCAAGTTGTGCTGTGATATTTTTAGATGTGTTGGGCGATTCAAGGATTGGACCACTTGTTCCCCCTCACAATGTTTCCAAATGCCTGTGACCAAATACAAAAATAACCTTTTTGAATTGTGAAAAATTGGACTGTGTGCAAAAAAAAAAGTGATTTGCCCATCTGAAATGTATTAATTTCTTAACGCCCACAAATCCTTTTAAAGCATTTTTGGAAAATATCAAACACATTTATTTCTCGATACTCTCTGAAAGAGTGTATTTAGTTTGATGTGAGAATTCAAATGTAGTTCTCGGAAGAAGTGTTATTACAATACAACATTCCCATTATAAATCTCCAGAATTAACTGCTTCTGGTGCCAAACGGGTTCTGGACAGAAATGTGCCCAATTCAGTCACTGGGGTGAGAGTGAAATGAGTAAGAGTGAGAATAGGAACCTTCAATCATAGGTTCAATGCCTGCGCTCCTTAAGACTCTTACTTCCCATGTATCTATCCAGCCAGCTGCCTTCCTTCGAAACATCTCATGTAATTGTCTCTGTGACTTTCTGGGCCAGCTCAGCCTCACCATGCTCATTTACCTGCTCCAGTATTTCCCCGGCTTCCATCATGTCCAGGCTTCAGGTCGGAGTTTGGTTCACTCTCAGACCCTAGATTGTTGTGTACACACGTGACATTCGCAGAAAGGAAACCGGGCGCCGTCTTACACAGTCGAATTTGTTCCCGATTCTCGACGGCTCTTTCACCTCTCTCTTCAACACACCCAGTCGGGTTTTCTTTTGACAGTTTAAAGAATTTCTCTCTTTGCACCCTGTTGCTAAAGCTCTGTAGCTCATTGTTGAACAGGTAAGGAGGAATTATGGACACAGTCTGGACTTTGCTGGCATCCAATTCCTTCTGTGCTGCGCTGTGCCTCGACACTCGCGACGGCCTTGTCGTACCACTGTGCGGCGTAAGACTCGAACACGTTCCTTCTTTCAAGTGTTTCCTACAGCAGCAGAAGGATAAACAGATAGCAACTGCCAAGAAAAATCCACCTGGAAGAGAACGATGAAAAGATTCTGAAATAAGAAAGGATCTTCAAATATTCATGTTTCACAAAAATATTTCAATGACTATTTCACTTTGTGCTAGATCTTCCTTTTTTGATGAAACAAGTGACCCCCAATTGATACTTCATAAGTGCCTTCAGCTCCGAGTAACTGAGGCAAGATAATAAGTGATTGAGGCAGGAAAGTGCAGTCAGAGCTTCTATAGAGCTACATAATAATAATAATCCTTACGTTTGATAAATAGTGCCTTATCACATTGTTGAGACCTCTCAAAGCGCTTTACAGAATACACTGTGAAGTGGATTAACTGTGTACTTTGTGGCCAATAGTTAGGGCATCTCACGTTTAATAAGAACGTAAAGCATGGAACAAGATGAGGCTGGATTAAAAAAAATAAATCCATCGAGTGGAATTTACCTCATTAGAAACTAATGCAGAAAATATTCACATTTGCACCTCACCTATAAATCCATAAACTGCGCTGAGGGCTGGAGTGCCGCCTGAAGGCAGGGTGATGAGAGCTGGGTTGATGTCTGGACTTGGGGAGGGTGTAACGGAGGCTTGGCAAAGACTGAGACTCAGTATGGGTTTATCTCGCACACTCTCTGGACTTTGACAGAACAAGCTTCCTGGATTCTCCAAGGCCTTTCTCCAGGATTCCAGCATCATCAGTAGTTGGCAGCTGCACTCCCAGAGGTTGTTCTGTAGACTCAGACTCAGAACAGACTCTGGAACACCAGCTAATGTGGCCAGTTTGTTTTCACTCAGCCGCAGGTCGTTCAGACTCCTCAAAGGAACAAAAGCATCTCGGTCGATGAACAGGAGCTCATTCTTGGACAAATCCAGGATGCTGAGGGAGCTGAGTCCATAAAACGTGCCTGTGGATATGTATCGGATCCGATTGGAGGTTGCGTTAAGGTTCATCAGCCATTGTAGCCCCACGAATAACCACGGCGGCAGATAAAAGATCCCATTCCGATCGACGTCCAATTTGCGAAGCGAAACCAGATCTGAAAACCACGAGGGCTTCAGCATGTCCAGGGCATTGTTGCTCAGCACCAACTTGGTCAGGTTTCCGAGCCCACTGAAAGCCCTCTCTGCAATGTCGCAGCTCCTCAATTTGCTGTTAGTCATTTCCAGTTTATCCAGGAGGCTGCCTCCCCCTGTGGCTGAGCTAAACACATCGTTCGAAAGAGCTAGCGTTTGAAATTTGTTCATCTCCACATATTCAAGCTTTGAGAAGTTTGAGAACGCCCCTGCCTCCAAGGTGGTAGGTTTTCCATTTTGAAGCAATATTACTTGGACTGTCCTCGGGACAGCTGTCAGAACTAGCACACAGAGCAGAAAGTTAATTTGTACAAATTCAGTGCATAATATATATTTTTCCAAATCTCTTCCCTGCAGCCCCTGGCTTCTCCCACACCAGGTCCCTCAAGGTTATCAGCCCCAATCCTCACTTGGCTCCAATGGCTCCCCATCTCCCAGCGGATCAAGTTCAAGATCTTCGTTCTCACCTTCAAATCCCTCCATGGTCTCACCCCACCTCTGAAACCTCCTTCAACACTACTGACCCAGCAGCTCCCTTCACTCATTGAACACCCTTCTCTTTTGAAATAGACCAGCAAAATCACAGGTTCGATCCCTAATCTGTGCTGAATTAATTGAACTGAAATGAACTGAGTCAGAGGTAAAACAATCATACAATTGGCTTCTTTGCCCCTGGGCTAGATTGGGAAAAATACGATTTTTTAACATCCACCTTAACCTCTGCCGATGCACTGGTTTCCTCCTATTTATCCCCCTCCACACTTCCCGTTCCATCCTGTAATGCATTGAAGTGTAAGCTATGCTTATGATGCGACCTGTTCTCGATCTACAGTCATCTGACCCAGAATTAGGAGTACTACCAAATGAGCCGACATTAGCCCATCTCTACTGAGCAACAGTCTGTAGGAGGAAGAGAATCAGGTAAAGTGAATGTCCTAATCTTATGCTGTCAGATCACTTACCTTCCTTCAGTGAGGGCACAGATTTGCAATTGGCCAGGTTGCTCTGACAGGTACAATGCCAGGGACATTGCTGTGCCCGCCCACAAAACAGTACAGCGCAAAGTACGGACAAGAAGAGATCTGCGGAAAGATGCACAGTGGTTTAAAAACTTCACTCTTAGTTCCCCGACAACGATTACGACTTCACCGTGTCGACTTCCACGGATCATTGGGTCAGTAACAAGAAGGCGAAATGCACTGAATTCTCACCAGAAGATAAAGGGTGCTGTGTGTAAGCTTCCCCACCTCCACAGTAGCTGGGGAGGTCACTGGAGAGAAGTGGGATGGTTTAGGGAAGGTGAGAGAAATGTTAGTTAGCCGCTAAGCCTCTGTCGGAGCACACAGGGTTGATTGCCTTTGTGATATTTCGAAATATATTCTGTAATCAAGAAATTCGGACGCTCTGTGCTGCTGAAACGTGGAAGGGCTGCTCCAAGCCAATCCATTTTCAGAGCAGGGCTCCCCCAAGTCAGAGTGACCTACTTCCAGATAGGAATCCTCACTCACTCACATTTCTAAATTAAGAAATTCATCGAGAAACAACTCAACACTTCAGCCACAAAGTTCACAGTCAAACCACTTTACAGTATATCCATGTGAAGCACTTTCAGCCATCTCAACGACGTGATAAGGTACTATGTCAAATGCAAGGATTATTATTATTATAAGACTGACCCCATACACCCTATCACCAATTCTGTTAATCACTCACGCTTCATTATCGAGCAACGTTTTCAAAATGCAAGGAGTTTCTCCGCTTGGTTTCTCCCTCGTCGACTTGAGGACAGGCTCATCATGTTTGCTGCAGAGCAAATTCCTGTTCAATGGGAGATCCTGGTGAACTTATACTCCGGAGAGTCGCTGGTTCATTGTTCCTGTTAATGAACAATTTTGTAACAACGTGACCTCTCTTAACACCCAAAGTAAGTCCCTACCGCATGGGTGAGCCGGGCATGTTGTGAGCTGCACCAAATCGAGAAAGTTACTGAGATTTAACTTGCGTTCGGTTATCGAGTTAATAACTAATCAGAAAAAACTAGGTACTTACCGTCAGTGGGTCTCTGGATATGGATGGAACAGCTCTGCTCTTGCGATCAGGCAATTCACTCTGCAACTTAAGTTATTCTAACTTAAAACCAGTTTTAAATGTTTCTCACCTCATATCCCACTGAACCTCCCAGGAGAGGAAAAGGAAGTTATGGTGGGGGTGGCTTCTGAACCGCTGTAAATGATACCCTGGAACAGAATTGCTGTTATGTACAATGCTGGTGGCAAAGCAAGATCGCTTGAGAGCTTTCTTAAGCCTTTATTCCAGTCCTTGACTGACCCAGTCCTTTTCCCCATTCCTGCAACATCACTCTCCTCTGTCCCTATCTCACCCAAAGCAATAGGTCCCACCCCCACTTATGCCTTTGTCATCAACATACTTGACCTCAACTGTCCTTGGCACCCTGGCCCACTGTCAATGTCTGCAGACTTGTTAGCCCACATGCCAACTCAGACCTGTTCCGTCCTCCTCTATCCCCTGAATCCCACTCACTTATCTTTCAACGAGCCTTCAGCCACTTTGCTCCTTTTCTGCGGAACTCTCTCCCACTCCACTCATAAATCCCTTCCAAAAATGTTAACATTTCACTGGGTCCTTGGTCATTTCCCTCCCCCATCTCCCATTGCTCATCCTCCCACTCCGTGACTCTGCGAAGTGTATCGAGATGATACATTATTTGAAAGGTGCAAGTTGCTGTAGAACAGTGCAGAATTATCTTAAATCACTGGAGTGTATTTTCCTGAACACTTAGGATCCATACAGCCTTCACGGTTGAGCTTTTATTCCAGCCCATCTTTGGTCTGGATTCTATCCCAGATACTGAAAGGGTTGCTTTCTAAACCCACCCAGGCCCTGCTAAACAAGATTAGAGTTTCAACTGTGTTGTACAGAAGGACAAAAAACATGAGAGGAGAGAGAGGCAGGGAGAGGGAGGGTAGCCGTGGTAGGAATTGAGAATGACAACATACTTTGGAGCCATTTAAATCATTTATTAAAGTATATACATGAATTTAAGATTGACATAACCAACAAATATAACAAGACTGAATTTTATTATCTACTGATCGCTGAAAAACACAAACATCAAATCATTTCTACTTAATGTTTTCCAAATGTGCTCAGCAGGAAGCAGTGGTCATCTGACCTGCCCTCTAAAGTTAATGTGTGTGGGAGAGAGACGGGGATGAGATTAATTCGGTTGGAGGGCACTTCAACCGAATCACTCTTAACTTTAACTGCCACTGGAATCAGGGTAGGTGGTGCTTTTTTTTTTTAATCATCTACTTTGGAGTATTAATTATTTCATCCAGTAAAAAACTGTGCATTAAACCTTGCGCAGAATGTTATGGGTCTGCTTCCACCTTTCCCTGGTCCAGCGACCCTGATTTTTCACAACTTCATGGAGAAGGTTGACGTAGCCATATTCACTGCTGTGGAGAAGCTGGTCTTCAGTTGTGGAGCTTGTGTCGACAATCCCTTCGCAGGCTGGAGTCACTTGCGGACGAGTAGCGGCTGCAGTGGTGTGTCGCTCTTTGCTCATCTCCTTCCTTGTTCCCTTCAGAGATACAGGGGAGGGACGGATTTCCGAAATGTCATCATTCTCAAAACTGTTCTTGCCACTTTGCAACCCTTTGGCGATTCTTTGGCTGCCTGTCTCTCTCCTTCCCTTGACAAGTCCAACATTTTCTCCACTTGCCTCATTCTCCAGAGCCGTCCCATTCATGTCGTTGCGTGCATTTTGCGAGTACTTGCACTGCCTTTCAACCACACTGCCGTCCAGAGCATTCATTAAACTGGCTCTTGCATCATATAAGGCTTCATCACCACCTGGTTTGAATGATCGGGTCCCTAGCGGACTTCTCAATGAACTATCATTACCACGGATCGATGCAGTGTTGTTAGTGTGTTCATCATGGTGCATACCGTTGCTAATGGTGCTCACGTCACTGTTTGTAATTTTAGAGAAAGGTAAAATAGTCCCGATAGGTTTACCATCTTCATTTCTTTCCTGTCTCGTTATGTTTGCTACTCCCTGATTCTGGACAATGATCAATGATTTGATGTCCAGAACAATTGTCTGTTTTTCACAGACTCTGCCTTTGTATATTCCCATTTCCACATCACCCGTTATATTTGAGATTCTCTCTCTTTTTCTCCCTTGCTCATGCTCGAGAAGCAGTTGGCTTCTCGTTGGTGGAGTCTTGGCTGGGGAGCTGGGCAAAGCCTGATCGCAGATGGCGAATTCAGCTGATTCATCCACAATGGTCTCTTGTTGAAAAGGGACTTCGGATCTGTCTCCTGTGGCAAAGTTCGCTTGTTCTTTGACCCTCTTATGGGCATCGTTCATTTTCTCTTCATCAGTTTCTAGCACAGACACTGAAATATTAGCCTTTGTCCAATGATTCTCATCTGGATTCTCATTCACAATGCCCTCCTGTGGGTATGTTTCCTTTTTCTCAGTTCGGTTCTTTTCCGGTATGACTGGTTTCTTATCGTGTTTCCTTTTTATCAGCAGAAGAATCAGGAATGAGAAGAATAAGACGAGTGCTGCAGAGAGAGGAGGCACAGGGACACGTGAAGATTAATGTATTAACTTGAACAACAACAACTTGAATTTATATAGCGCCCCTCACGCAGGGTAGCGTCGCAGAGCGCTTGACAGTGGCGGAACATGAACCACTCAGACTGAACTTGCTTGCTCAAACGCTCCATCACCTTCACAGAAAAACGAGGCCGGTCAGCCTCAGTCCAGTTCCAAATGTCCATGCGACGAGACAAATTGACTCTCACAATGATGTAGCAGAACAGTTGTCCAGAGGCTGAGGCACATTGATGGCAAAATGGGAGCTTTACTCTCTATCTGACCCTTTGTTATACCCTCCTTAGGAATGTCTGATGAGAGTGTAACCCGAACTTTACTCTGTTCCTAACAGTTGGTCTAACTGAGCTGGGGGTGATTGAATGGGACAAAGCAGGAACAGTATAACTGTGCTGTACATGAACTAATAATGCTGAAAATTGGTCATTTGCAATCTACAACTGTTTGTGGGACATTGCTGTGCGCAATTGGCTGCCGCGTTCGCCCACAAATATACAGTCAATTCACTCTACAGTGTGTTCTGTGAAGCGCTTTGGGATGTCCTCCGACGTGAAAAGCGCTATATCAAATGCAAGGATTATTATTATTATTATTATGAATGAGTGTAGTGGTCTATTACCTAATCTGGGAATGCTGGCCTCTGAGGGTAGCGACAATGGCCTCTATTCCTCACAACTAACAGCTCTTCCCCGTGTAAGAAAAAAAATACAATAAAAAGGAATAAACAAAACAATATCAAGTGATACGCGTCTTACCTAACAACACCAGTACTATGGGTAACTGTGTCTGATGGGACAGTGGAGATACAGTTGGGTGTTCATAAGGCACAGTTGTGCTTCCGGTCACAGGACAGTGAAAATCAGATACGTTCCAAATAGGAATTCCTTTCAAACAGGATGGATCCAGGCAGGCAACAGCTGACTGTTTTTCCAGTACAGAATTATTCACCAAATCTGGAAAATATATCGTTGGAAACATAAATCATCGGTTACTGTTCTCTGGCTCTTACTTTCATTCAGGCTTTATGTTTGTTGTCATTGCCGGGGGGGCGCTTAGAATAAAAGAAAACTCTTCCCATAGATCTGATCATTTAAAAGCAAGACAGGCACTGCACTATCAACGCACTCTATAAACTTCAGGAATTGGGGACTGGGGGTTTCATGCCCCCTCCCCTACATCAATGGCACTCTACTCCAGCTCAAAGTGTGGCCTAAAGATCCTATGGCAATTTGAAAAAGGGGAGTCCTGGCCAACAATTATCCAAATTAATTGCCATTTTACCGTATGGGTATTTGCTGTGCACAACAAAAACTGCAACAGCTTTCTTAAGCCCATAGTTCCTTGTGCTTTGGGAGTTTCACTCAAAAAAGTTTGTAGGTGAAACAATCAACACTAGTCATTCAAATACATAACATCAGAATCCTTGACAAACCAAACATAGCAAAATACTTACCTCTCAGAAAGGATGCGAATTCCATGAGCTCACAGGAACAGTTCCAAGGGTTCTTAGTGAGGTCCATTTCTCTAGTCGGTACACCTTCAAAAACCTTGGCACTCAGAAAAGACAACTGGTTGGCCGAAAAATTAAGCGTAGAAAGATGGGGATTACTCTTGAAACTTCGTCCAGCTATCCCCGCAATCTTGTTCCAAGAAAGATCTAGCATTTTTAAACTAGAAAACAAGGATAGAGTGTCCTCACTGATTAAATGGATGTTATTCCGGGACAGACTAAGGCTGACAAGACTGGCGGGGTTGGAAAACCAGGAGGCATTGATTGCATTGAGTTGGTTATTGTCCAAGTCCAATGAAGCCAGGTTGAAGAAAGAACGGAAAGCTCCTCGTTCAATGGTCTTCACTTTGCTGCTGGCTATCGTCAGGTTGGTGACAGACACCAGCTTCGAACTGTTGAAAATCGTACGGTCGATGGTCCCAATCCCAAAGAAATCGGTCCCAAAGAAAGAGAGGACACTAACATCGGAGGAATAGAATGAGGCTGAAAAAGACAAGTTTCAAAATTATTTAGTATTCAAGTGGTGCACAGGACATTTTTTTAATAAAAGTAGTTCTTGATAGTAATTTCTAAGGTAAATAATTTCAGTAACTTTGGCATTTATTCTTTTGCAACTACTTCTCTTTTTACAAGGAAAGGTTGATTTATTAGTAGAAGCTAAGGTGGGGCTATTTCATATCATTACAGTAATTTCGCCCACAAAATACACAATCACTACACTTCACTGTGAAGCCCTTTGAGACATCTTGAAGATGTAATAAGGCGCTATGTCAAATGCAAGAATTATTATTATTATTACTACAAGCCCAACATATAGATTTAGTTTCAACACAGTTAGTTCTGACTCTTTCAGGAGCCATCAAATATTTGATCTGGTCTCCCATCTTAAAGCCCCGATTAACCCATTTATTCCTACTGATTATAGGACTTCTAAGAGAGAATGTCCTTTCCTTTCTTTAATGTGTATATTTCATAGAATCATATAACTTACAGCACAGGAGGCCATTCAACCTTTCAGTCCTTGTTGGTGCTAGCTCTCTGACTGGAGCAAACTTCTATGAACCCAATTCTATACCCTTTATGCTTCATTTGTCTACGTAGCAACATCCTATATTACATGGTTTTATTATTTCTTTCCTGATCATCCCATTCTTTGATTGTGCGAATATTCAAATTAATCGGACACATTTTATTGTTGTCTATGAAATGTTCCTGGCAGTGATTAGTTGCGGTGTTTAAAAACATTGATTCAATATCTAATGAAATATACTTTGTAAAGCGCTTCAAGGCGTGTATTCATGTGAAAGTGCTTTATAAATTATTATTATATAGTTAATATTTTTAGTTAATATAGTATAATATTTTTCACCGAATATTTCTCCAGATCCCTTTAAATGCTGTTACTTTTGAAATACAAGAGCTTGCAGATGTAAAGATAGAAAAGTAATGAAGGATATGATGAGCGTTTATTTGGTGTAGAATCTTCAGGAAAAACAATTCATTATAAGACTCACAAACATACTTACAGTTGGGTACAGCAGTGCAGAAGATATACACAACGTTTTCTCCTTTCTGTTTTAAACACGCTTCATCAGTCAGACATCTCGAGAAACACATGCTCCAAATTAAAACCACTGCCAGGTACGCTGCAAAATATCACACAAGTTTATGATGGAGAGCATCAATATAAGCATCAATTTGAAGACCTCCTCAGGCCAGGGTCCCATTGGACATGAAAACATTACAAACTAGGGCATCTTTGACTGGTCCAATATTTTGCTCATGCTGTGTTTTGGGTCAAAAAACAATTGCAGTAAAACATTTCTCAAAAAAGTAAAGGAATCCCCCTACAATATGCGTGAAAAATAATTATTGGGATCTATAATGATCTGACGTTTAATGGGACTTAATAACTCCCCAAAAGCACATCACAGATGCTTGAAGTTAAAAAGAAACAAGTAAAAAAAATTACATTATACCAAGAATCAAAATGTCATGAGTTAGTCAGTCTCATTCATATCAGTAAATCCTGTTCTAATCTGCATGTTGCAGAGTAAGCTTTACTCACGCATCATAATCCTCAATCTTTACGCTGATTGCAGCACGAGGACTATCCAATGTAGACAAGAGTTCTGCTGTTTGATGAGGTGAATTCTCAGTGTTTGAGTCTCAACTAAATGAAGGACAGTGAATTTCGCAATGAGTTTTGTTATTGTCATTTGACATGTTGAGACCTGAACCGTTTATTAGATGTGTTTTTAATTTCTGACCTCGGTCCTACAAATAATTGGCAACGTATCTCCAAAGACAACAGAACTGAAGGCATTCATCAAGGTGACCCTGCAGTGTAAACCCAAACATTGATGTCCGGGGGGGGTGGGGGGGGGGGGGGGGAAGGGGTCCAATACTTATGGAATCCATTTAGACTGCATTTTCAGCCCTAATGAAACCTTATCAATCAGAAGTAAGTACCATAATGGTAATGACTGGGTGAACTTAATGGGCAAAGGTGAAAGGGCAGCAGCATGCAGGAGGGCTGCCTCAGACCAGGGGGTAGAACTGAACTAAGTCACAGAGAAATGCATGACACGTCGGCAGTTCCCATTACACGTCTGGACTTGTGGAGTTGTCGGTCCATTAAAACTTTACAGCGTGTACGCATGGAATTACCATGCTATCCTGAGAGTGCTTAAGACAATTAGAAGAGACTGACAAACAAGAGTAACAATGATTTATATCTTTGACTGTTGAAATATATTGAACTGTTTTATCTATAAGGTTTACAATACTGACCAATTAGGATTTATACCAATTAGGACTTGGCACAAATACTTGGTAATTATGTATTTAAAGGGCTTCTGCATCTCATCTTCCTCCCTGTCTACAAACTCGACAGCTGTTACTTGTAACTTATTTATCTTGCTCTGTGTATATAAGCAGGACAGCAAGTGACCATTAACCTGCAGATTATCTTGTTCGACAACTCGTGAAGGGCCCTATATAAATGTGTACATTTGTTTACCAAGCTCATCTCTCAGTGTCTCTGAGTTACCACACCGATCCGGGCTCAGGCCTTCGATAAAATCTCACCTATCATTTAAAATGGCTAACGAGCTTGTCTTCCGCCAAGCCAGGAATTTGGATGATTATGGCAAGGATAATTTTTCTATAGCAATAATTCAGCTTTTATTTTTTTTAAAACAATAGTGATGCAACACCTACCTGAAGTAAAAATCAGAAACCTCATGTTTCAAAAGTAATTTTAACCCTGGAATTTTTAACTGGACTTTTCTGGCATATATTAATGCAAGATGTCAGAGCTGGGAATTTGCATCAAGCACTTCCAGCGCAGGAACAATAAAGAGTTCTTCTCTGCTCCAGATGGATAGTTGTGATGCAGATGGATATTAATTTCACTTCAAACAAAGAAACATCAAACAATCTCGAAGAGTGTCAGGGGTAGTTAAAACAGGGAAAATAGTTTTATTTAATTCGCCTCCAAAAATACAACACTCCCTTGGTACTGCAAAGCAGTGTCAGCCAAGACTATGAGCTCAAGTGTTGATTGGAAATCAAGTGGCTTGCATCCACAACCTTCTGACTCAGATATATGAATGCTGACACAGATAGCTGAGCCTAGCTGATGCCCAATATCGCTTCAGGTTTACCCCCACTCCCGATATACTTCACTCCAGTGTGCACTCACATTTCATCGATTCACCTTAAATTTAACATCTTGTTGGCACTTGACACTTGTGCTCTTTTTATATCTTATCAGGAGCAAAACATGCAACCGGAGTGTGACCGACTGGGCACTAAAAAAATGATTTGCAGTAAAATAAATTTCATAGCAATAATACAGGGATGTTCTCCCAACGTGAAAGGCACTATATAGGTGCAATTTGTTGTTGTTGTTGTTGAAATAAATTCGTGTTTGATCCTCAAGTGGGATAAACCGAACATGTGGAGCAATCCAAAACCCTGTCTGTCCAGCGCCTTGGGATGTCCTCCCGACGTGAAAGGCACTACACAAATGTAATTGTTGTTGCATTAAATAAAGCAGTCTCTATGTCTGACTTCTGCCTCCAGGAATCAGACCTGAGGCTACAATGCCCCCTGATGGAAAGTACTTGTATATCTACAGCTTTCAGCACTGTGAATTAACAGTGGAATATGACTTGAGTATCAGATTCAAAAGGAGAACGATATACTGTAGTTTACAAATGTGGGAGTTTAGCAACGCCTGGGGAGGGAAATGTAGAATGTATCACATCAGTGTGATCCACCTTGGCAATCGGTCCTGATCGAGGAGCTGAGCTGTCAAATTTCCGAACCTGTGATCTTAAAACAGAGAATTAAAAGATAACTAAATTACAATAATTTGCACTTATACAGCACTATTCACATAGGAGAATGTCTTAAATGCTTTACAAAGTCTGAGTGAGAGCTAGAAGGGGGGGGAAAGCTGGCTGAAGGCCCAGTTGAAGAGAGATTTTGAAGTTGGGTATTGAAAGCAGAGCAAGGTCAAGGCAGAGGGAATATCAAAGAGTTCCCGTTTCTAAATGCACACTAACATCAATAATGGAAGACCCTAAATATACTTTTGTTCTTTAGGATTTTTTTCTCTTTCATCTCGGAGAAGAATGATGTATTTCTTCCTCAGTGAGGTTCAAATGTTCCTGGATAGCTAAGAGAACAATATACTGTAGTGCCAGCTTCAGGTCTGTCCTGAAGCGGTGTTAAACTTAACCGCATATCTACAGGACTGTTCAGACTAGAGCAACATCATCCAATATTCTGTTACCTCCCCTCACATTACATTTGTTTTTCACATAATACAAAGCGTTTATGCCAGCATACACAATACGTTCACAACACACACACACTGCCTGATTCTATTTGCTGTAAATAAACAGACACATACTGTCCTGCCTCCTTCCCATGAGCTGAATTATACAGATGTGGAAAAGAAAAGCTGCGGCAAAATAACGTTTAAAAATAATCATAACAATGGGAAACAAAAAAGACAAGTGACTTGTTAAATAAAATACAGTTCACCGTTCTTTATTAACTTTTCAGTGCTCTTCAAAATAAATATATGTTTTATATGTCAAACATACAAGTGGAGAAAATGATTAGGGATGGCGTGAGGCATGGTAAAATGTGTTACAACAAAAAAAATGCCATTGCTTACAATGTGACCTGTAGAATAATACTCAAAACCATTTAGAAAATAGCTTCATCAAGTCTTCAGGTATTTACAGTTTCAACAGACCAGATAATCCATACACCTATTTACAAAAACTTTCAATCCATTTTACACTTCTGATTTAAGAGCATGAATAAAAAGATGGAACAAAAAATGTAATCGAAGACAAACTTGCATTCGTTAGCTCTGGACTCCATTTTTACTGACATCTCAAAAGGTTACTTCACCAAATGCATCAGAGCAACCTGGCTTGTGTAGTGTTCACCGTGAGCTAATACGGTATGAGCTTGCATCATAGGGAACTGTGTTTACATGATGTTCAAGGCCAAAGGCATAAATACATTGGACTGTGCTGTCGTCAAGCATGGTGCAGCCACAAAGTGCTCATGTTGAAAATATTTCCTCTTCCAAGGACAATAAGCAAATCTGCACTTCTTTCAAAAGAAATGTGTCCCTATGTACTCTGAATCAATTATTGGAACCGCCCTTGGAGCATCTTTGCTAGACGTACGGAAGAGGATTTTATTAGTGTTTTTGCGATGCACATTTGGGACATGAGTAAAATACTCAACACTTGAGTTTGATAGAATGCACTTGGGTACAACGTGTTATAGTACACGCCTATTCAAATTTGTACTTATTGATTTTAAAATAGTTATTCCAGTGAATATTTTGGGTAACAAATGGGTTAAATTTCAATTAGCAAAGAATTTAACAATGTGGAGATCATCTTTTAAAAAATTATCAGGGAAATATTCACAGAAAATTCATGAATTCTGTACACATGGTCCACTGGTCTCATCAAAATGCTGCTCTATTCTGAAACAAAATGTAGTCCCACAGATCTATGCAGGTTTCTAAACAAGCTCAAAGTATGAGCCATTTTCCAAACAAAAGGAATACAAATAGATAGAATTCTGCTTCTCAGTATCACCTCAATTCAAACATCATTACAAGCACTGGGAATCTTTTCTATATGAATTATATAAACTTGATGCCAAATCAAGTGATTTAAAATCTCTGAATGACGTGTTACCATCCAAACATGCAACAACAAAACTTGCCTAATAAACGCAAATATCTGCATTGCTTAAGGAAGAGATGATACGGTTTATAAGATATCTCAACCCGGGGCTGTTTTACTGACCTGGAACACACTCTATGCTTCTTATCAGCAACTAACTAACAGCTAGTCCTTGTGATGCCATTATTCGACTAACACACAGTGCAGTTGGGATTTCATTAAATGATACAAGAGGTATGTCACACTTGCATATTCTAAAACAAATTTAATGGTTAAGAAATTCATAATCTTGTAATGACTAATAAAACTGAGATATAGAGAATAACCAGGAATTGGTGACTGACAACAGAATGACTGACCAGACCATACAAACACACACATTCTCACTGATCACTGGCGTTTACACCCCTACAGAGAAGCAACGCTGCTGTCTAGCATATCACACCATCTCCATTCAGCTGCCAAATCCGCTGCCACTAAATCAGTGATTGATACAAATATAACTTGTACTTTTAACAATTATACAGGAACTGACTTAACGTATTACACATCCAAAAAGGGAAACGTTCAACTCATCTTCCTTGTACATGTATGGACATGCTTTGCAACATTTCAGTTAAGCTGTACCTTATATAAATACTTGGTACACGTGCAATGTATTTGTAACAACACACTACACTCTCGGCCCGTCATTATAATGTAGATGTCTTTCCAGTATTTTAAGGCAAGACCAGTTGGATTTTAAATTTTCAAAAGGCAAGCAAGAACCACATGATTTACGCTGATGATTTGGCTTTTGATAGTGCAACAAATGTAATAGATCAATATTTAATTTTTAAAAAAATCAAAGGATGGTGTGGGCAGGGGGAGGAGAGAAAATCTTACCTTCGTATAGGATTTATCTAGCTAGTAAAGGAACATTCACCCCATCAGCCTGGGCTGAATGCAAAAGCAGCTTATTAAGTGTTTAATTCCCTAAAACACGTAACTCCCTAAAACAGTCCTTTATGGCTGTAATTTTTAAATGTTTTAAAGCCAGTGTTAAATTACAAACAGATAATGCACATTAATTAAGTTATATAAAATTGACCTGCACTCATTTTCTTATGTTCCGTTCGCTCTACATTTCTCATCTAAAAACAAATGCGTGAGAAGGATGTAATTGAGATAACAGTGAAGATGTGTGTGTGTGTATATATATATATATATATAATACATACACACACACCAATGTGACACCTAGTGATTAACTACTCACCAGAACAATTTATGCCATTTCATTTGTTTAAAAATAAGTTGCTTAAATCCATAAAACAAAATAAAAATTTGCACTTGTAAGTGCATGTGTGCGCACGCATATGAAACTAGTGTAAGTATTTTCACAATATCTTCTACCATTTCGCCTCTTAACTCTCATTAGCTTATAAACAAATACAAATTATAAACAAACTAATGTCCATAAACATTCGAGTACCTCAAAAGTTGCAATAATAGTTTTTGATGGACAACCCACATAGGCAAGTCCATAGAAACTTATAATCAAAACATTGGTCTCTGTACCTGAAACCCTTTAGAGGAGAAAAGATTTATTTGTTTTATACAGTCTGTAGTTAATTATTCACCCTGAAGGGATTAAGATTCAAGTATTGTTGCACCATATTTATTTGACAACCGCACAGTCCTCCTGCATCAAACACTCACAGGTCATTGGCAAAATCAAGTCCCTGTCACTTTTGCTTCCAGCCAGGATGCACAGAAACATTGCAGTGTCAGTTAGCAAGAGACGATGCACAATGAACCATTCACAGGAACCATTCACATTTCTACAGCTCATGGTTTCTGGTGAAACCCACGAAAACTCTCGCAGTTAAATGTTCGTCTGTTTCTCCACCGTGTTCCCTATCAATCCCAGGTGAACACTGATTGATGCTTCAAACTCAGAAAAGCACGTAAACCATTTGGTCTATAGCAACTCTTGTCGCGAACAAAGGTATCTTGCTTGTGCACAGCACAGCTGCAAAGGCATAGTGAGAGGCAAAGAACACGAGCCTTTCCACTTGAAAACAACTTCCTCCTATGAACCTTTTTTTAAAAAAAAAACACAATTGAATGAAGGAAAAGCAAAATCCTCAGCATAGCCACTTTAGTGAACCTGCGAATGTTCACTGCATTGGAAAACTACCCGCTTCGAAGATGACTTCAGCCAGACAGTCTTCTTTCTGGCAAAACCATGACTGCATCAGATGGCTGCAAACCCACATTCGCTGCCACCTTTTCTGTACACAGGTCTAGCTATTGCATCTTTTGAAACTGAATTGTCCACAGGCAGCGGCGGTTAAATAATTTGGTTATCGAGGAAGCCTTCGCTAGTCTTTAATTTTTTTTTACTATTTTCCTATTCAGATAGCGTTTATACGTCTGTAGTGACTCAACCCTTCAAACTTGCACAATTAAGACAGAAATGTCCAAATCCAGAAGGGCTCCTTCGTAAGCAGCTATACGGTTATTTGAGTTTGGCCCTTCAACATTCTACAGTGCATAAAGCTGCTCAGGAATGGGATTTTCCCCCAGGACACAGGGTGCAGCAGCATAAAAGGACCATTACAATGATCACACATTATATAAGGGTGACCAAATTATTTTAACCACTGTACCACTTCATATTAAGATTTTTTTTATTTTAAACTGAACACACACAGCTCCCGACAGGTTATGTTTAAAAACTTCAGAAAAAAAAAAAAGGTGTGGTTCGCAAACGTCTGCCACGAGAGCATTCATTTTGCAAAAAATTAGCTAGAGATAACAGGGAAAGAAGGAGTAAGCGGCCAAGAAATGTATTAAACATCATTGTCCCCTCCTGTCCCAAAACAACCCAGAAAGTTTTAACAGCATACATAGTTAACGAGCATGCTGCTTGTACAGTATAAGAAAAAAAGGACAAAGGAAAGAGCATTTTTACAATGCATGAGCTAATAAAAATCCATCAACTTTGATTGTGACCTTTGAGCGTGCCTCTTTATAGAAATACCGTGCTCTGTGTGGTAATCTCTACTTCTACACAGCAATCTTCCTTACTGGACAAATAACACTCATTCATTACTGCAGAACACAGGCTTTTGTCCACCGTTGTGGGATGATCAAGCATAAAATGTGCCAAATGCAACTGATTTAACACATCGGGCTTTCTGAAGGCAATTCTCAGCATTGGATACCATCTCTCTTTCCTGTATAGTATTGGTTACATAGTTCTCATAATTGTGTCCCAAGCTCCTCACTGCATCGATCAACGCTTCTGCTATCTTTAAATACACAAACAATCAGTCGCTGTTCATGGTAGAATAGGAGAGGATTTACTGAACAGCATTTTGGACTGCAAGAAGGTGGTTGCCTTGGTACCTTGGAAAGCTGTTACATCAATTCAACTTGCAGCCCCACTTAAAACGAAAGTCACTGGACTAGACATGTTCAAGTCCAGGAAAGGAAAATAGTCTTCTTCGCGGCTATTTTATGTCAATCTTGGTGCGGCATTGCAAAGCTCATCATTCCATATTTTCCTCAAGTCAACCTGAGGTGTGAGATTATACATTTCCCAATTTCTCACAGTGACGCTAATCCAAAGAGGCAGAAAAAAAAGAACGCAATAGAGGCGTCACAACCAGTGCCCACAGATAATCCATTGGATAGAAAACTTGCCACATGCAGAGAAAAGGGGTTTCAGCCACAGTAACCAGCTTAGAGATTCAAGCCAGAATTTGGTAAAGAACCGCTAGAGAGCGGTTCCCAGAGACAGACAGGGACAGGACAATGCCTCGGATAAAGAATTCGACATTGCTTCAGTTTTGTTACTTGCTTTTTGGAATATATTACATTTTCACTGCCTGCACAGACATACCAAAAGCAAAAGTTCCCATTCTCATCTGTAACTGTGATCAGCCAAGACTGTAAGTCTTCCAAAATGGAACAGCCAGCCACCAAATCAAATGAAGAAGCCGCTGATTTCAACACAATCTACTTAGGGGAGTGGGGTAAGGGGAAGGGGGCCGAGAAGTTTAAAATGAACCAACAAAATAGAATGCCTTTGCCTTCATTTTGCTGCCGATTGCTTCTTTGGCGCTCCAGAGCGCTTCGCCTGCCACAGGTGATTGTGAATGGTGAGAGCGTCCACGCTGACTGACATGGTTTTGGAAGGTATTAGGTTAAACTGCTTCCTGTCCGAACTGTATTTGTAAAGCTTGTCAATCATCTTCTTGGTAATGCTTTTTGGCCCCGTCCCAGTTAACTTCTGGATCTCCTCAGCTTCAGGAAAATAAGCATAAAGTGCCCGGAACTGGCAGCCCGCGTCACGGAACAGGATGATGTAATGATGGGCTTCACATCTCTCAAGCTCCTAGAGAGAAATGGAAAAACACGGTATTTTTCTCAGAAACACTGCCACTTTTTCGATGCCGTGAAAACATTGCTATCACCACAAATTGCAAATACAGTAATGGTAAGTATTATTCTCTTTCCCCAATCTAAATTTCCCTATAAAATCCTCCACAAGAATAAATAGGTACAGATTCATTCGCATGGTACCTACTTATTAAATAATTCTGTGTTATGGGTAACCAGCTATAACCAGCTGCAACCTATGCTCTGTACCTGCAGCAGAGACGAGGAACTTACATCATGACAAATTACACGCCTCGACGCTTTGTGTCTCAGAGATGTAAAGCACTTAATGTGCAATCCTAACCCAATAACTAAAAATAGTAAGTATTGCCCTGACAGGGGAATGCTCACGAGAAATAACAGTGCACATCGCGGGTACAAAAGACAAGTTGCTCATACAGAAAATGGCTGCACAATTGTATTGCAATTCGGGCTAAAAGAAATTGTTTAACAGGAGTAAATACTGAGAATTATTCAGTTAAAAGGACAGCAAAAAATGATCTGAAGTGTTCAATTGTACTACTTTTGAACAGCAGACTATAAACTTGGAACACTATATATGGAACATATTATAATCAATATCAGTTCAGGGAATTGTACCTAGTTGTTCTGTAGTTCGATTTTGAAAGAAGTTGCACATAAAAAATGTTTATGCCACTCACCTCAAGTATTGAGTTTTTCTGTGGTTCATTTACTTTTCCTGCCAGGCAGCAATGGGAAATTGCGTTGTGAATTAGTGGCTTGTTTGATTTCGAACTTGGTTCTTTGAACAGTTTTGGACCTGAAACACAAACAACAAGTTAACACCGGAAGTTTTAGACCTCCGTTCACAAGTGGAAGTGAACGACCTGGACAAGAAACATACCTGTGTACTCAGCTACTGATGCAATCGAAGAGGCTGTGGACGTATTCTCCCAGTCTCGTTCAGTGTTCCTGCTCTGATTTCGGCTCAGCACTGAGAACGTCTCCATGGAATCTGTCCTGTAAATTGAGCAAAATGACACAACCAGTCTTCTTGTTAATAACACAGGATCATTCGTTGATAAACCGCTGCTTCCGCTCGATTAGCTGCAGCGTGTCCCACGTGGCCTCCATTCCACCACTGGCTTTTGATTTAATTTTGGTATTCAGTCACTAATCCCCGAAATTCTGGAACACTCTTCTTCTATCCTTCCGCCTTGCCCCTTCCTCCCCATCGTCATGTCAAACCTGAAGACCTTCCTATTCAATCATGTCTACGGTGACCCACCCCCTCCCCCTGGCTCGGGGTCATGCTCGGCCACTGTCAAGTGCTCTGCGTTTTAAAGTGCAAGTTGTTGTTGATTAACAAATATTGGAGGGTAAGGATTACACGTCACCCAAACCAACTAGAATAATCTCCCAAATTAAATCAAAAATCGAAGAGAGATTTAAATTATAATGACCTTTTTCTCACTGTGCAATGCTTGACGATTTCACCTCTGTGCTTTTTGACCAAGCAATTTTCATTACAAATTAACTGTGCTTTGCCAGCCTGGTTCTAAACCATGTTAATTTTATTTGTTCAAAGATTAATTCTATGCTTTGAAATCAGGGAGTTCATGAGTAGTCAAAAGATGCCATACACACCACCTGGTAAATTAACCTTAATGCTCATATTTGTCAAATAACTGATCACTTTGATTGAATAAAATGATATATAATAGGAATACATGTTAGAGATTTTCCACCTACAAAGCAGTATAGACAGAATCATCATAGAACTAACACATTAAATTCCCTGTGAATATCAATTTGCACAAGTAGGGAAACAGCTGAAATGAAGTTAATCAGATTACAGGGTCATGTTCCAGCACACCTCCTTGCATCTATTCCTATCCTAATGATCCCACCCCTACTTCTTTTAAGTTTCACGATGAACAAACATTCTGATTAGCTCAGCTCTTCTTCCATTTGCAACCTATAAACGTTCTGTACAATGCAGTTTGCAAAAGTAAAAAGAGTTCATATAGGACCAGGTGTGAGTAATGTGGAGTTTGCTTACCTTTGTGAAAAGCCACCACTTCCTCCTCCCCCAGAGTTTACACTTTCTGCCTCTGTGGTCGCGGCTGATGCCAAAGAAAGGCTGGAGCCAGATTGAGCACTGCTCAGATTATCAGCTAAATAAAATAAAGCAGAATCATCCCTGAATACTGTACAGGTTGCATGTCTGAAAGGGAAGTCAAAGCAACAGGTAAACTATGCCTGAGCTGACAAACAAATGGTGGCTATCTTGAAAAGCGCATATCCGTTTTGCATTTACCTGATCAAAGAAAACTTTCAGAATTCTACATTTGTATCCTGTTTCTTTCCCCCATTGGCTCTATAACTGTACACAGCCAATCAGCCAGCACGTAATACCAGAGTGAATACAGGCAGGTTAATAATCAAGTAACTTTTTTTTCCCAAACAAACATTACCAAGCTAGTGAAATAGAAAGATGCAAGCAAATTACAAAATCATTTTTATTTTTTTAAAAAAAGGAATGGTATAGTTGTATACTCACTCTTTTTAGGTCATTCAACAAAAAATAATTCTAAATTCTCGAATATCTGAATACAAGTCAATTCACCATCCCAATATGAAGCTAAGCTTCCCTCCAACCCCCCCCACCCACGCCGGAATGGGATGAGACAAGACCTTGTTTTGTCTCTGGACCGTAAAGTTGTAGGTTCTAACATAATAGCAACTGAATTTATAATCTGAATTGACAGACAAATGGTTAGATCTTTAACACCCAATTTCTTCCTTGTCTGCAACTTACGAGTGGAAGGGTATCTGGATGGTGGTTCACTGCTGGACTCTTCCCGATGTACCGATTTGGGACGTTGTTTCTTAGTTTTGGGTTTGGGTTTACCAAGTCCTTGTTCATCTAGTATTTGCTGCTGCTTACGCCTCAGATACTCTTGTTTGATCAGCTCTCTGCGTGCCTTCTCCTCCTCTTTACGAACTCGTTCCTCTTCAGCTTTACGCCTGAAATAAAAGCAGGATCACTTAAAGACGTACTTTAAGTCACACAGTTTGCAGGTGGTAAATGTTATACTCTTTGGAGGAGGCTTTTTACAGCTCTAAAATACAGACTAGAGTAAAAAAGAGTAAAAAAAACTCTCTCTAGACCGTGTCAGATTGGTGGTGAGTTGGCTAAGTTTATTAAAGCAGGATTACTATTCTTTCTTTAAAAAGACGTTGGGTCAAAGTTTTAACAGTTGAATTTTCAATCCAAAGCACAGGGTCAATATCTGACACTATTTCGGTGCCTCTAATTTAAACCATTACCTCGCTTCATCGCGTTTTTGTTCTATCTCTGCCTCCAGCTGCTGTCTTCGCAAGCGAGCCTCCTCGGCTTTACGTTGCTGTTTAAGCAAGAACGCAGCACGCTTCTTTGCTAGTTCGTCTTCTGCTTTTTGATCATCCTGCAAGGGTTACAAAACAGTTGTTGGATTATGGGTGCAGGATCAACATGTGCTAAAAAAAACACCGAATTCAAGGTCACCGAATCCACATCGCAAACCAAACCAAAGGTCTTTTAATTTTCTCCCCCACTTATCTGAGATTACTGATACATTTTCTCACTTCTACAATATTTCTCTATTTTCTGAAGCAACATTCATATCCAGCTCAAGCAGGAAGAGTCCTGTCATTGGGTAGTATAGAAACATCAACAGCAAAAAATAATGTATATTGTTGCACTACAGCATTCTCAACACTGATGGCAGTTCACACCAAAGCAGAGCAGCAATGTTTGTGTCTGCAGTGTCACCATATGGTTGGAATTAGGTACAACACTTAATGTTGCTCATTCAGAATTAAATGCAAAAGGGGTTGTTTCCAAATATTGGCATAAAACAGGTTAACCCTTCACGGATGTTAGTTACAACAACAACAACAAGATTCCATTTATAGAGTGCCTTTCACGTCGGGAGTTAATGAATAACTTGGTAGCTTTTATCTGCTCAGAAGTCGTTCAATTTTTAAATGGCATTAGGGTTGAGCACTAGGGATTTATAGCAAGGTGGGATCAAGCGCAAAATATCTGAACTTCACACAGTTTCACCTTCGCAACAGTGCTTTGCAACATCATAGCTTAGAGGTCTAGTCCAGCCCTGAAATAATGCAGTCCTTTCACTGTTCTGTCTAAGCCGTTATGAAATGGAGTGAGCTCAAAGCACTGTTAGCAATCAAAATAAGATGTGATTTGAGTACCTCTGACAAATAAACCGATCAACCATCTCCTCACTGAAAAGTTACATTCCTCTGTTCCAAAGCAACAAATTGGCCAAGTACTTTTCAAAAATATCCGCCTTCTCTGCCAGACTACAAGGTTGGTCGTACCTCAGCAGTGAAACATGCTGAAATGGCATTCTGAGAGATGATAATGGCCAACACTGGTCACAAATCCACACAGATTTAGCCCCACAGGAGAGGATTCCCACATGACACTTGACAGGTAAAATCCCAGCTACAGGAAGGAACCTACCCAGTTAAGACAGAATGTATCTGTACCCCTACCCACCTCCCACAACAAGTGTATAGCTCTTTTGGAATGCATCCATTTGGCCATCGACAAAGGGAAAAGGAAATAAATCAACCGCTTGCGGCCAAGGAAGAATGATCTCCAACCAACAGGAACACTAGTTATGCGGGGCACTGCTCCTTGTCCCCCCCAGCCCGATTAAATCGCAGGGATTTAAGCTAAATGAACTCTCTCAAGCCATGGACAGGAATAGCTCCCAAGTGTGTATGCAGCCATGTCAACAAACCAATGTACTACCCCCACACCCTGTGCAATAAACATACAAAGGGTTCACACAAGGAGGCTGATAATAATAATAATAATCTTTGCATTTGATATAGCGCTTTTCACGTCGGGAGGACGTCCCAAAGCGCTTCACAGAACACACTGTACAGTGAATTGACTGTATATTTGTGGGCGAACGCGGCAGCCAATTGCGCACAGCAATGTCCCACAAACAGTCGTAGATTGAAAATGACCAATTTATTATTGTTTTTGGTTTTGGAGGTATTATTATTAGGCTCTGTGTGGAGTAAGGAAACTTGCCCAAGGTTTCGCCCTCTGCCTGGAATTGAACTCAGGTCTCTCACTTGCAAAGCGAGTGCTCTAACCACTGAGCTACAGGACTCCACTCCATAACATTGTTATAGGACGTTAGACGTTTAACACAGACTAACCTTGAAGAAAAAGCCTAATCCAGACTTCTGTTCAGATTCGTTGATCACCTGACTAGTGGAAATGCCTCGATTTTCACACGCCTCCTCATCTTCCGGCCCGTTCAGTTCAGAGATGTCTACTTCTATGAGGTTTGCCTTGTTTTTAGATTGTTCCTCGACAGGAATATTCTCCTTTCCCGAGCAGTCTGAAGAGTTTATTGATGGATGCTCAATCTTCTTTGGGGTGCTAATGACTGCCTCAGTATTAATCTGCTGATAGAAATAATTGTAACTGTCTTTCTGGGATGCTGAGAGCACTGCTGCCCTCTGGTTACCTTCCTCACACAGTATATCATCTGCAGCATCATCTTTTGTCCTTTCAGCTGTCTGCTCTGCATGGCCCCGATCAGGTGTGGCTTCTAAAGACCCGGTATTAACGTGGTCATCAGAAGCAATAGCCTCGATCTCTGGCTTGGTCGCTTTGCTACTGGTGAAGGGGCGCAAGTGAGGTAGTGTCTCTACACAATGCGTTGGAGTAATGACACGGAAAGTACTCTGCATTTTGGAATCCCGAGACAGTTTTATGTCTGTTGGCCTTCCTGAACGGGCGTTCTTGGCTGGAACGCTGCGCGGTTGTTTTCGCACACCTTGTGCTGGACTGCCCCCCATGGGCATGGGTGGCTCTACAGTATGTGTGGTCTGTTTGGTCTTTTGGTCCGGTAGGGTACAGCTGGCATCTGGCAATGGTGTAGATGGTGCTTGGTCTTTGAACTTCATGAGAAGCTCCTGTTGCTGTGAAAGCTTATGCATCTCATGCTGAAGGTTGCTCAGTGTTTCATTGAGCTTCTCGATAGAACGGCTGTATTCATTCACATCAACTTCTCCCGAACCATCCTCGAGTCCACCATTGGGACTCACCTTGTTCTTCCCAACATCATACGGTGGCTGCAAGGAATCCTTTAGCCACCGTTGCCTAACTGCGGCTATGCTTTCCTGGATATCGTTTTCTGTCATTTTCTCATTTACATCCTTCGGATCAACCGCTTCCATTTGCTTTAAGTATTCCACTTTGTCCTCTTGGTTTGCAAGAACGTCATCGGTCCTGGAGCCCCGAGACACTATAGCCACCGTTTCTTCAGCATTTGGTCTCTCGGCTTCCTTCAAGATGTGTTCCGGCTTCAATGGCTGTGGAATTCCTTCATTTTTTCCCTTTTTGACTATATGTAAGAAGGCTGCTCTACCCAACTTCAGCCGTTGACGGGCGGAAAGTGCCTCCATTTTCTTTTTTTGACCTTCAATCGCCCTGCGTTTTTCCTCGAGCTGCATGTGAAGCTGCACAAGTTCAGAGGCTAACAGGTGAGCGCTGTCTTTCATCTGCCTGCTGGGGCTCTTTTCTCTCCTCTGTCTCCAGGTTATCATGGGAAGGGGGCAACATTCAGACCCATCGGGAGTGGACTTCTGCGAGCTGCTGGTGCTCGACTTGGTCTCAACGCTGTTGAGCCTTTGCAGTTTGCGTTCAGCAAAGTTGGTCATTCGGACGCTGGTGCTGGCCAGAGAGATACTGCTGGTCTGGGAGATTGTACTCAGGCAAGGGCTGGAACGCCCGCTCGCACCTTCCTTGTCCTCGCATTCCTTCACTTTCATGTCGTGGTGTAATTTGCTGGATTCCTCTTCCCCATTGTACCGACTTCTCACTGGGTGGATCTCATCCTCAGCAGGCAGATCTCCCTCACCCTCCTCCATATCTAGCATTTCAGAATCAGAATCTTGCATGTTAAGTGTCCAGGTTGTGTCACTGGCACTTGCTTTATTGGTACCTGTGGACTTCACACCATTGGGTGGTTTACTAGCCGGTTCTTCTTCAGGATCACCGGTGTGAAGGAAGAATCCTCCAGCCTGCTTCTGGGCTGAAGTGTCAATACTACTGCTCAGCAAGGGTCTAAAGGCACCTAAGGAATCCTCTGATGCTTCAGAATGTTGTAAAGGCTCTGTAGTCGTTGGTTCAGCGCTTGCTGTAAATTCGGAACTGACTATGGGAGTGAAAGTCCTATTAATATCTGCGTCAGTATTGGCATTCAAGGTCTTTTTATGGGCTGAAGGCAAAAACCCGTCAGCCGTTCTCCTCACTGAAGCAGATCTGTGCTTTTCCTCTCCACACTCTTCCCTTTTGTTAACCAGAACAAGGCTTTCCTTGGCTGGTTTCAAGAAAGCAGGCATCAAAGGTTCCAAGAAGAAACTGTCACCTCGATTTGTTGCTTCAAGATCATTGGGCTGTTTCTTGGGGGACGTCAATGTTGATGTACTGGCAGCTCTTGATAAAACACTCTGTAACTCAAGATCAGAGTTATTAACCAGACCCTCATCTGACTTAATTATTGCTATTAATTCCTCGTCGTCCTCATCCTCCATATCCACGTTCCTGAGCAAGCCTTTTCCATTGCTTCTTATTGATGTGGGCATCATCTGCGACTGGTGTTTAGGGGTTACGTTGATTACATTGGAAGCTAAACTGTCTTTGCTGATAGACCTAGCCAAGCTGATGCTATCCCCAGATCCAACATCCGGATCACCATCAGTTGCATAATGAAGGGCAAATGGTGTAGGCTGAGACAAGGGTCTGAAAGAGTTGAAACAAGTCTTAGAAACATACTAAAAATTACTACTACTATTGTGCGAAATTGGCTGCCGTGTTTGACGCACAAAATATTCTGCCAATTCACTTTATATTAGATCCTGTTAAGCGCTTTGAGACATCTCGAAGCATGATAAGGCGCTATATCAAATTCAAGGGTTATTATAAAGTATGTTGCTGTTTTATTCACAAGATTTAAGCTAACTTAAATAGCTTAGATCAGGGGCGCAAGAAAAAAAGATTAAGTGTGGAGAATAAGGGGCAAAGTAAGATGAAGAAGTCAGCTTCTAAATTTAATATTGAATATCTCTGGTTGCAGAAGACATTTTAATGTGTGCAAATTTCATCATCCTTAAACATAAAAATAAATATTTGCTTTGCGTTTAGTTGAAATAGTTACTAAACAAGTATTTACCTTGGTTTCTTTTCTTGCCATGCTAACACCGAGCCTCTTGGCTGTCCATCAACACGAGTTAAGGAGTTTGAACGATGCCGAGTGTCTAAATAGGGAGGATAACATTTCAACAATATTCCAATATTTCTGAACAATAATTGTAGATATTTACTGAGTAGATTACCTTAATATAGAATTGTATTTACAGACGATATTCTCACAATAATATTCGCTATGAGTCCTCACAGTAACATTTGGGCACCGCAGCCAAAACATTGTTGGAAGTTTCTGCCCTTTTAGACACTTCACATATAGGTTCCCAATGGCTTTAGTGGGTAAAAGTACTGCTTAAAATTCTTGTACTTGCACAAAAATACCAAATCTGTACTAAGGATTGGATTTCTCTCCCTCGTCAGTGAACAAAATTGTCCAGCTGAACAATGCTTCTTCATGTGCTCTTACTGCTCTCCTCAGCAAAGCACCAAACAATTCAGAATTTTTTTTAATCCTTCATTGAATATTCAGCTCATTTACTCTGCAAGAAATCTTACCTGGACTCTCTTCACCAGGTAAAGAAGATTTATACTGTCTTTGTCTCAAAGGCAACAGTGGATGCGGTGAGCTGAAGGCAGGGCTTCCTTTACTAGTACAAAAAAAGTGAGGCCAGGTTACATGAAATCACCAAAACCTTTTTGATGAATAACATCTAACAGAATATGAGAGAAAGCCTAATTTGATGTGGAGGAAAAAAAATGAAGATACGAGTATTTATTTTCTCCATATCCATTAGATATAATGATCGATGACCATTCCTTTTTACTCAAATGGTAAAATCCAAAAACATTCAAAACCGGCAGATAGGTTTACCAATGAGCAAATTCAGATAGGATACATTCAGTAAGAAAAATCTATAATATATATATATAGAGAGAGAGAATATATATAACATATAGATAGACAGGATTATGTTAACGACAAAACACAGGTATTGCAGGACATGGCAAGATAGAGAGAGAGACAGACATAGACAGACTTACACAAACTCTTCAGGATGCAGGTAATACCTGATTCCAATATCTGCGGTAATCTGGGGAACAGGTGTTTGTGGATCAGCAGGACCATTTGCAGGGCTGACCATAAAGCTGCGCTTTGTTGCATTGGAAATAGGAAGTGGCGGGCGAGTGCTCTTCTGTTGCAAGAGGCTTTTTGCTGAATTGAGGACAGATATTAGCATTAATACTTTTCAGAGATCTTCCTGCTTGTAACAATATAAATAACTACTTTTACCACACAAAATTTACATTGAACATTCACTTTCTGACTTGTCTGAAAGATAATATTTAAGACAAGCTTAATTCTGTTTGTGTCTGGCAGGGTTACTGTAGCTGATAGGCGTTCAATATACCAATTATCTCAGATTCTTTAAATTCAACCCACTTAACGTAAAAACGTTAAATTTAATAAACAAGAAAACAATGCGAAGGAGTGAATATCTTTAACATACCATCTTTCACCTCTTGAACATCCCTCGGTTGCACAAAGTCAGGTTTAACATTTTCAAACCACCAGAACAGCTCAGCAATAAACACCATAACATTAGGCTGGAAAAAAAAACACAAACCAGTCACGTTACACATGCACACTTGTCGTTCTGTTCTCTATGGTGGGTTTGATGAGTTATTAACAGAATTCATTTAAGAACAATGACTGGTTGAAATGTCATCATGCAGCAATGAAACAGGTTGATTCCAAATTCTGCTTTCTGGATTCCCCTGGACCTCTACACCAATGTCCCTGTAAAATTCACTGAGTAACTCGCAGAGAGACTCAAACTGATGGCTCACTACAGTGGTACATCAATATTAAAGGTTGAACAGAAATCTACATTGGAAGGGGCTGCTCTGTTTGTGGTACTGTTAAAAATAATAATTTTCTCTCCAATAAACGATCCGTTAAGAAACTTGGGTTTTACAATTGAACGTACCTTCAGCACCAATGGAGCATATAGCATATCTTCCAGTGTGAGATAAAAACACTTGTTCAAATACTGATGAGAAAAATCTATCAGCAGCTGAATGTTGTACAGACTGTCAGCAATTGAAGTCACTTCCTTCAAACAAATATCTGCAAGAAAAACAAATTCAACTTAAGTAAAAAGGGTTAAACATACTGAACCTAGTTGTGAGGGAAAAGACAAAAGGAGAATTTATAGTCATGAGTACCATGCTAAAAGCTCTAGATTCTAATACTGTAGCTACTTTTTAAAAATCAGTATTATGTTGAGTTTATTCTAACAAGCCAATTGCTCCCATTTCAGCCACAAATTTACACTAAACGTTCACTATAAATGGTGGGGCTCAAGAGAACTGTGCTTCCAGCATTACAATTAAGAATAACAATCAATATTATGCATACACATATGTAGCAGTATTCTAAAAGGCAAAGTGAATGTGGAATTCAAATCTATTACACAGAATGATTTCAGAAAATTAAAATGTTAGAATACCATATTGCAGAGATAGTAAAATGTTTTACAAACGGATGACTTTGCTTACGACACAACTAAAACTATTACACACCTTCCAATTTCATCAATTCTGGGCAGTAATAATGAATAATTGCTAGAAGTGAACAGCCATCACAAACATCCCTCATGAGATCTTCCATTAAAGGGAAAAATGGCAGCTGCTTGTTTAAGGGATGATCTCTTCGATAACGCACCTGATACAAAAATAAATATTAGCCAGCAGATAGTGAAGAAGTTGGTATATGCACAGTTCTAAATTCAGAATATTTAATTCTCTCCTGCACATCAAGATCAATGTGGAGAAGCCTGGACCAATCAGCCTAGTTTAAACTAATTATCACATTCCTGGGCTATTTGGTCTTAATTCAAACAAAAGCCTGCTGTATGCTTCCCTCAACAGTGCATGAGAACTTTGCTTACTGAGGATCATAAAGCCACAACTCATTTGGAACTTGTATAGAATTTTGAAATGGCAATTCTTTAATCATCGGGGGAAAATAAGTAGGAACATTCAGAATCTAGTTCAACTAGAAAACTAATGGCAAGAAAGGAGGGAAGTAAACCAGACAACTGAACATTGCACAATATGTTTGTCAGAATCTTTTGTTAGGCAGATGTACTGTCACAGCATAGATAGTAGAGTATTCTTCTCTTTACTAAAATAGCACATTTACACTATTATAAACAATGAGCTGAAAGACCTTCTGCTTGTTCAGCATTTGTTTTTGCGAGTTCACAATATTTTCTGGACTGGATCCAGTGGACTGGACCCAGAATAATAAATGTTTCTTTGTTAAAGCTGACCACTACAAAATCTGGGGTAATTAAGCGGTTGAATATTCAATTATGTTAAAGCGGCTGCTGAGGTGCAAATAATCACAAGTAAATTTGCAATAATAATAACTTGTTTCAAGGGAGATTCATCAAGAAACTCAACACGACGTATGAGATTATATAAAAAAAAGGGCAACAATTCCGAAAGCACGCCCCCTACTCACAATGTTTCGTATGTAATCTAACTCGCTTTTTAACTAGTTACATTCTCCCTGCAATTGTTCTCCCTAAAAATAAACATGTCAGTTATCAAATCTGAGAATAAAAATGGGGACTGACATTTCATTCCTTTCCTGCAAGGTAAATTATCGTATTATTTCTGGCTCAGTACTGCATTGCCAAATTAGTATTACTTGGTCTGTTGCACATTTAGACAACTTTAAGAGAAGTTCTCCCCTTGTCTTGGCAATCACTTCCCCGACTCCCAACTCACCGTAAAGGGCCTGGATGACAAAAGCTTGGGAGAAGGCAATACTCTTGGCCATTCAAGTCAGCCAGGTAGCAATAAATTACAGTAACAAAGGTTCTTTATATGACAGTATTTCTGATTAAAGACAAAATAGGTGGGAAGTAATGGATGGCAGGGGAAATACAAAAGATTACAACTAGTACGATCTCCCGTGTTCCATCAAAAAGAGGCTCGTAATTTTTCTTTGAATATAAAATAAATATTATGTCCCGATTTTATACTTCGCTGAATGTTTAGTTGAACAGTGAATGTTATTGATATTTGTTTGGAATATTTCTAATTGTGTGGGAGCTGAATATCTGCAGTGCATTAAACAACCTGAGTGCTTCAGTCATCCTATTATTTCGAGAGTACATAATTTAACAGCCTTGGCACTGTTCGGCACATCACTTCCACTAAGCTAATTTCCTTTGCACTCACTGTTGAAAGAAAAATAATTTAAAATGCAAAAAGTAAAAAATGTTAACACTTAATTTTAAAAAGCCTTATTTATGGTGAATCTCCTGACTTAAGCGCTATAGTTCCACACTGTAATTACTTGTCTAGAATACTGTCAATATGAGCTAGTTTAACTACTGATTTGCTGAAATGCTAACAGATACATTAACTAAACCACGAGTAAATGCTGGAAACCTCAGCAAATCAACTCAAACCTGCACACACTCAGATTTTTATAATGTACGGATAATTTAATTGAAGTTATAATAATACCTGCATTTATTATAACGCCTTATCACATCATAGAGATGTCTCAAAGCGCTTCACAGAATATACTGTAAAGTGAACTGTTTGTACATTTTGGACAAAACGTTTGTATGTTTGTTTTGAACAAAAATATGAATCCCATCCACCTTTGTGTAGTTAAGTCATATTTTTGGCCAGTAATCATTTAAATTATATCTGAAATAACCTATAAACCCTAGAATGTATTTACAGATTGGAGAATGCGCTGCTTGTGGAAGCCACCAATGTGTTGAAATGTTTGCAGGCCTCACTTGCTATTTTAGATAAACGTTGTGCTTTATTTTAAAAAAAAATTTCAGGACGAGATTGGTACTGGCAAGGCCAACATTTGTTGTCCATTCATTGAATCAATTGACCGGGTCACATCTATGACGCAATCCCATCTATCTTAAATCTTTAATACTTGCATTGGCTGCAAAACACATCAATCAAACTAGTTTTGAACCAGTGAAAATGACTTCAATAATCAAAGTTCCTCCCGTCTTCCAAATGAAGGGAAATGGGTAAAAAAAATGGGAGCATTAAGACAAGCAACAGATTAGAAATCGGTGGGAAAGGGTTATAACAGGCAGGGGGGACAGAACAGTGAAAATTACAAAGAATGAAGAAGGGGAAAAAAGGAATTACAGAAAATAGAAGGAAATGTGACAAGTAAAATTTTAATAAATGAAGTTCAGATTCTGTTCTCCATTTCTGTGGTTACCGACACAGTTATAGCCATTTTAAAAAATAGTAATGAACATCTTGATGTTGTAGCTTTATGACTTTTGGTAATTAGTAATTATACTAATTCTTTTCAGTATCATGAGCTTCAAATCTACCCTACTGGTTGGCCCAGGGAGATACGAGTCTGCAGATCTGATATCAGCTAAGGATTAAACAGGAGCTAATGGGAAAAAATTACTATGCTAATACTTTCTAATGTACTAATCGGGTACTAATGCGGCTGCAGCAACAGTTCTTATGATCAATATGAAGAAGATTGTGTTTAAATACAATTGGTCGTAACCTTAATGTTAAAACATAAAGCTGCTACTAAGTCTATTGAAATTAGAGATCATCGCTATAACAAGTTACATTTTATAAAAGGTGCTTCAGGAAGCATTTCAATTTAACATTGCTACACTTTCTACGCCAGAGAATGCTAAAAGATTCTAATATTGCATCTTACTATACAAATGCAATTTTATTATTGTTGTTACTCATGTATAATCCTAAAACTACTGGCATTTGTTTCTGCTTTTAATATAGCTACAGTATTTCCCAAACCTGAAGAAAATTTAACAGCAATTAATTTTGCATAAAGCAAAAATTGCACTGGTATACATTACTCTTACTACATAAGTATTTTACACAGATCTATTTTAAATGATACATTAATATATTTTCCATTATATTTTTTAAATGATACGTTAATATATTTTCCATTATAATTTTTNAATAGCTGAACATCTGAGAAATTATCTGTTTTCTTACCATCTATGATAACCACGAATTACATTAACAGTGAGATTGGAAAAGACAAATGGATGAACAAATCCAGAACAAAACATTATTTGGGGATAAAAGTTTTGTATTTTCTCAAAAATGGCAGATTTTTTCCCCATTTTATATAAGGTTAGGCAACAAGTATAATTACTGGATTAAAAAATTGAGGCTCTCCAGACAATTATTTGCCAATAGTTTGCATATTATCTATGAAGAGATAAAGCATACTGTACCACCCGAGCATATTCTTCTGGCTCCAACATGCAGTGGGCTATGGCATGCATCAGATCACACTAACACAAGCAGAAGACAGAAAAGGTGATGAAAGACAGACAGAAAACCATGAGCTTGTTAAAAGGGCATGTCAAAAATTCTCACATGTACCCAATGTAAAATGTTGGCAGTTTGGATCAGTCACTGCTTGCCATGTATATAATTAACAATGACAACTATACAGTTCCTGTTCTATCCTTTTGAGCAAATAGAAACTATATAAATTTATATAGAAATATATAGAAACTATATATAAATTGTTCTCCTATTAGATTTTCCATTTCAGTATTTCACAAAGCATCACTCAAGTCCACAACCTTTATTTACAACCTCACGAATGCAGAGTGACTCAAGCACATCTCTGTTGCCATGTAAACCAATGCATGCTTTTGAAATTCAAAGTTTATTACGGATCACGTGAACCTAAAGTAGAACATAAAGGGGGAACTGCAGAATCTGTATAATAGCAGTTCCACACGAACTGCGTATTTAGTTGGGAAGGATTCAAAATTACAGATCTGCTGATCTTTTTGTTTGGATTGATGTTGAGGATTTTTGACAGCTCCTTAAGTTTTCCGTTGAAGCAATGATTCCAAGTCCATAACTGTAAAGATGGGAAACTGCTGAATGAGGGTTAAAAGCACACGCACATCTTGCAAAGATAGCACCAAGTAAGAGTAATGGAATCCAGCGGTTATAATGTGAAAATACATGGTGGAGGATTTACTGAAATGTCCCAACAGATTCATGATGATGACTGCTCGTAAAATGAAACAGACAAGCTACTGATGTCAATGTAATGCCTAAATGTTCAAGGCCAGAAATTTCTAATGTTCTTTGCCTTAAGACCACGGTCTTCAAAGTAAAATATGGGGGAAATTCTTCAATTCAATCCTAATTTGGAAGTCTCATTTCCTCAGCTTCCAAATTAAAATTGAATTTAAGAACTTTCCAAATTTCTGCACATTTTTCATTTTAAGAATGGTCTTATGGCTAGGACTGAGGAATTTCTTGTCTCCATTTACGCATTACATCCTTCAAAGCCTAAAATAAAGACATGCTTTTCGTTCATGCAAAAAACCTCACATGGTAACCAAGAATGTTACATTTCTCAACCAATAATTTCTGGAGGTCCAGTGGTGTTCTCTGATGTCCTCCAATATTTTCAGCAATCAGCGATAGCAAACCACCAATGGAAACAATGAAAACATCATGCCCATGCTGCATATACGAGACGTTCTAAATTACAGATACCGAAGTGTTTGTAATATATTTTTGTGACATAATCTCCTAATGGACATAGGTTTACTCTCGGGGGCGGGGGAGGAGAACAGTAGTCTCCAAAATTTAAACTTTAGGGTAGCATTTTAAATAAAATGTAGTGTGTCCGATTATTTTTTCTCTCCATGAGCACATATATGCCATTTGATCTTGCTAGCGTGTGGTTCCATGGGTATTGGTTGTTTTCTGGTACCCTACCCCAGTAGCTATTGTCCATACGTGAGACTTATCAGCGAGCATTAGCATAGAGCATTAGCAGTGAGAATTAGCAGGCCACTCAACAGTAGAGAGCATCACGGCCAAGCCTGACCTCTCCCCACCTGGATGCTACACGCACAGCCAGTAGAGGATGCTGTGCAGGGATTAAGAGAAGGTATTCCAGCTGGTGGTGTTCTCCCGAACCCCAGAAGACCAGGGATACTTAACCCTCTCGTGCAACTCTGGCCGAGACCAGCAAACATTCTGCGACGTTCTGGAACAAGCAAGCTCCCAATCCACAAGCTGCAGCTCTACACCGGCACGACCAGCCCCAGCGCTACTTTGTAATATATATATACCTCATTGGTTTTATGTGCCTTTATCAACAGCAAGTATTTGCTCTCAAAGCAAGTATCTGTCCTAGAATGGTGCAACCATGTTTAAAAAGCTCATATATTATCAAAAATTCATAAGACTTAAAATCCTAAATTACCTTCTCCAGAAACCAGCCTTACATACTGGTAGTTCTGCTAAGAATATTTTAGGACATCAGAAAATGTTTTGTTCTTTATTGCTCCTCTTTTTTTGTTAGAAATGGCAGAATGGAGTATGACAGAATAAAAGTAAAGGTTAGTGGCTCACTTACAGGCACCAGTTTCCAATACCATTTTGAAGGAGACTGCCCAAAAAGCAGGGAGAGGAGTTAGAAATCAGAACCACAGGGCAAAGGAGCAAAGCTGGTTAAAACATTACACTGACCAGACACAAAACACGTATAAAACTTCTCTGGTCTAGACCGCCCGATTGGGACACTCAATTAAATTCTGGCTTTTCAGAATCTGCCCATTTTAAAAGAAAGAGAAAACTAATCAGTGGAGGAAGATAAAGAGTCATTGTATTTAATAGCTCAATTGTGTTCTTTTGTTCGGATACATGAAATTGGTACTTCTCTGCTGTTCAGGATGGCTGGGGCTGAACACCAAAAATCCAGAAAATAATTTAGTCTGACCTCATACACCATATAACAGTTAACTAATAAGTACAGAGTTAAGAAATTGGCTTTCAGCGACGAACCTATAGAACCGTACCCCTGAAATAGAGTAACAGCAATGCTAAGATTAATAAAAGTATTTGTTTTAGCAAGACGATTCAAATAAAACACATCCAATATTTGATGTGAAACTTTAAAATGTTTAAGTGGCACATTGTTTTGCCAGGTCAGCCATATTTTCACACTAACTGGCTTTGACTGGTTAGATCAGTCAACTGTGCAGATTTCTTAACTTCTCATGCAACCAATTTTTTTNCAATTTAAATGCATTTGTAACATTATTCTGAATAATGAGGACATGCGGGTACAAAGGGAAGGAAGGACTCGGGAAAAAATATTCAGTCACTGATCACACTATTTTACTTTCATCCATGCAGCATTTTTTTGTGTAAGTATCTACTTTGCAATATTTAAAGCACATCTACATTAACAAAGGACACATTTCACTGGAATCCCAGGACTCAATCCCGCATGCCCTCAACCTATGCACCCTGAGCTTTCACTGTGCTATTAATAATAACAAATAATCCTTGCATTTGATGTAGCACTTTTCACGTCTTCTCGACGTCTCAAAGCGCTTCACAGAATAGACTGTAAAGTGAATTGACCGTATATTTGTGGGCGAAACACGGCAGCCAATTGCGCACAGCAGTGTCCCACAACAGTCATGGGTTGAAAATGACCAATTTATTATTGTTTTGGAGGGATTATTGTTAGGCGTGTGGTGTAAGGAAACTTGCCCAAGGTTTCGCCCTGACTGGAATTGAACCCAGGTGTCTCGCTTGCAAGACGAGTGCTCTAACCACTGAGCTACAGGACTCCACTTGTGGGGAGCTGCTGAGCAGAACTGTGATACCTCCCCACAGGGGCTGGAGCGAATTGCAAATGAAAATATTAGAGCACCTTGGCCCTGCTTGTTCTCGATATCTCCTGCTGGACAGTCATTTTATGGTTGCATCAATTTGCCTTAGGTGGGGCAAACAAAGTCATCTGCCTTTCAAATTAGCTGGGAACAAGCTTTAAAAGTACTCCTAACTGGTACAAAGTCATCTTACCGGGAAGCAGGATCACAGTCGCAAAGAAGTCACGGACAAACAGAAAAATCACAGTACCTATTACATTTTTACCACCCTTTCCATCATATAGGCTTCCATACAAAGAATAATCATTGTTAAGACACTGAAGGACTGCCAGGGCTTGCATTAGATAACCAGCATGAGCCACCTCCTCTTGAAGGGGAGGAGAGAGAAAAGGGACATTAAAGACTCCATTTAAACCTCAAATTAAGACAAAAAAAGTTTCTCCTTCAGTATAAACCGCTAAAATGAGCCAAAGCAACAAATGTTCTTTTGTGATCAGTGGTATTGAAAAACTATTTTGTCTAAATAAATTGAATTGCATCAGAGATAAACAATGCACTTAATTACGACTTAATGCACTTAGAAAGCATCAAATAACTTTAAGCGTGGACTCCTCCACGATTTTACTGCCTGTTGGAAGATTTGCAACTGCATTAATCAATTCCTTAAGAAAGATCACTTAAGGATCAAACCAGTAAAGAATGGAAACTTATGATGTAATAATAAGCTGGATAGTACTGTAATGTCATGCCAGGGCTGACCAACGAAGCCTAAAGCAAAACAGGTTGGTGGCCATCAATGTGTTCCCAATAATTAGATTGGCAATTAATATACTAGAATAGAATTCACATTCATGAAATAAATAATAATAATCCTTGCATTTGATATAGCACCTAATCACGTCTTTGAGACATCTCAAAGCGCTTCACAGAATGTAAAGTGAATTGACAGTATATATTGTGGTCGAATATACACTACAGGACTCCACAAAGTAAAGCTAGAACACATACAAGACAGGTATGTATTCAGTTTAGATGTGTATAAATGGATCACGTATACCACATTGTGATGGTACAAACCTTCTATCAGGCATCTAAAAATCTCTCTTATCTGGTTTTCAATATGAATAAAGGAGGATATATAATTTAATGGCCATGCAAAAGTTCTCAACAGACATCTCTAGTTTACTAACTCTGTACCTACAAGGAATCAACCCAAATGACTATCCGTTGAAAACCTGATCTACCAATATGTTACAATTGAAAAGATAGTCATCACAGTTTTGTGCACTTTTTTTTACTAAGGATTGAATGGTACATAAAGTCAGTCCAGCAGCAAAGCAGCCAACTGTTTCGCTATCAAGCTCTAAGATAAATTACTAAAAAGTTAGGAGAAAAATGCATTTAAGAGACTAGTGGAGACGAAATAAGGCCTTAAAAAAGCATTTTGCAAAAGCATTTAAAATAGCTTGATAAACCTACTGCACTTACCTTTTGTTGACTTGGACTCTCCAGAAGCTGTTGTTTAAGTTTCAATTCCCTTTCAGTGATTTCTCTCATTTTCAAATTCACCTGAAAATGGCAAAAATGAGGGAATTCTATTTTTCAAATAATTAGGACAAAAAACAAGTTTAACATCTAAGATTTTGAGCAGCTATTTTTAAATGAAAACTGCTGTCTGGTTCAGAGGAAGTGCTGAAACAATTCTGTTAATGAGATGACATTAACCTTTTGAAGCCAGATCAATGGTCCTATGTTGGTTGCTACCTGGTGTATTTTGATTGAAAATAATATCTACATGATATGCAGATGCTGACATTCAAAGACTCCACGTCACAAGCACAATATTAAATTAAAAGCTGAAATAACCTCTGGGGATAAACTCTTGAATTTTTAATTTGCCAGCATCGTTGACCACTCAAGTAGATTTACCCGTCTGTGAGCTACAAGCAGATAATTATTGTTTCTTTTACATTAATGTGCTGAGGATATCACACATTATGCAGATTTTTGATTTCAATATGCAGTTTTTTTTTAAAAAATTCACCATAGATCGATCTAATATAAAGCCCACAATTGCGTTCAGTGTTCAGGGTGATTAATGGTACAACAATTGTTGCTAAGCAATGATAAAGAGCAAAGTGACTACACAAAAAAAGACAAGTTAGGCTGAGTCACTCTCAACTATAGTTGAACACTCAGCAATCTACATGACTTACAGTCATGTGAGAAAAAGCAGTGATTTCCAATAATAAGCTACAAAACAAGCAAACAAATTATTCAGGGTGTATTGACTTGGGTAAGGTCAGGTTTCACTTTCCACAATGTTTCAGCAATTCAGCTTACGATCAGCCTGAAAATTCAAACTTAATTTAATAGTCTGTAAATCCCCTGTTCATCATCATACATTATTTAGTAATTCTGTGGCCAAGACAAAAAACACATTATTGCTTGTGATTCTGTCAACACCATGAAACTCGATCAATTAACATTCCAAACTCAGAATACTGAGACAATGCTTCAATCAACGTATAAGCTTTGATTGTCCAGATTTATTAATATTTTAAAGAATTATACAGGTAAAAGCATTCTGTGTTGCGTATTTTCCACTGCCTTCCATAATTTTTGCATCACTGTAATTTTATCAGATAAGTTTAAAATTCTGGATGAATGCTTACTAAGGCAGTGAAGTGCCATTGTTATTCATTGTTGCTATCTGATGCTGCCAACAATGTAATAGGCAGTTATTGCTTGTTGCTAAGAAAATGCGAGAATAGCTACACTTTTAATGCCATCATGACTATGATCAATACAAATGCAACATGAATAAGATCAATACAAGTGCAATCATCGTTCACTACAGTATTTCAAAATAGTGTGAGGCAGCAATAAAAGTGAAAGGAACACTGAGCTAAAAATCGGCTCAGAAGCCCACCTGTACTGAACACTGCTCTTGCTGCATATGAAGTACAACATACAGTTTTTGTTACTACAACATAAGAGGGTCGTCTAGTCTCTGTAGACAGTGCAGGAAACACTTTGGCTGATCTTCATTGTTGTAAGGGTAAGCTCTGAAGAACAACCTAGGAGTTCTTAAGGTTCAGAGGGGATCTTATGGAAAAGTATAGAATAATAATCCTTGTATTCTGGCAAAGGCAGAAGGAGAAACTCCCTTCTCTTTTTAAATAGTATTTTTAGTTCAGTTGCCAGAGACTAGACACTGGTCAAAGCTGAAGCATACTTAAAATTGGCTAATATTGAAATGCTCACCTTATTTATCCAGAAAACCATGGCATCTTCTAGATCGTACGGCAATTCCTTTGAGGCACTAAACGTGGAGAACCGCTTCACTGAGGCCACGACTTTTTCAATGCTGATCATCTCTACTGTGTATGCCATCATCAGAGCATCAATCAACGCCATGTGGGCATTCTAGAGCAGAAATAGTGTTTGTACAACACTTTTATACAACCATGTTCATGAACCATTGATAAATTTGAAGTGTTCGTCACCAATGGGAACCCGTAACTACATACTACAACCTTCTATTATGCTAGTTTCTGATGGAATCCAGAGAACCTTATCTCCATATTCATTGCATTACACCAGCACGTGCCACAACTAAGGCCTGAAGCCAATTTTATTTGTCTCAATGTACTTAAGCTTGAAAATGTTTGCTTATCCACAAGGATTTCACATGTACGACACCATGTACTGAATATGAAAGAACAATGTATTATGTGTGTGTTGGTCAAACCATTAAAAACACAAAGGGAAAACGCTTAGAGCAGTTGGAATGTGATGACAATAATACAGGCTTTTCAAATGCAATGAATTGGATTAGACACTGATTGGAGACTGGAGCGCAAAGGTAATAGGAGGCAAAACTTTGCAAAATTGCAGGTATGTCCTGGTGTAATGCAACACACAAAAAGAAATGAAGCAGCTTTTCAAACATCACACAATATACATTTTCCCTTTAACATTAATGAGCACTGAGTAACTGCCAATGCTCAGCGGGTCTGAAGAATGTGAAGATTTGTTCATCATCATTAATGGGTTTGCACTCATAGCTCCTACTCATTACACTGATGAAGTGCAAGACGAAGGATTCTAGCAACAATTGAAGCTTTTCATAATTGTTAAAGAGTGCTGCAGAACATCTTGAATAAGGCCATTTAGTGCAGTTCAGATTTACTGAAGTTGAACAGAGATGTCTATGTAGCAATCTGTTAGTTCAAGAACATTCATATAGTAATTAATTTTATAGTCAGCTTACCACTGCAACTTCGACCACCAGCTAAGCAATTCTAAATGTAAAAATAAACCGGGAAGCCCTGAAATTTCTATTTAAATACAGCAGCTAGTATTTGGAAATTCAATACTATTACTGGGCAGTGTATGAAAGCTGATAAAACCACATGATTTCTATCACCCGCCTACAAATACAGTTGTAGAAATCTTGTGATTCGGGTGAATTTGAAGGAACTGGCCAGCATTTTCAATGTAATTTTCTCTCTTATCCACACATTACCCTTTAAGATTGAGTCACAATTCACAGCCCAATAAAGACCCAATCATTTTATGTGTAATCTTTTTTTAGCTGAATCAATATTTTGACAGAACATCCTTCAATTAGATATTTTTCAATCCCAAATTGTTTAGAACAATCTTTGAGATATTCATTATGACAAATTTCTTTCCCCAATATGAGGATTGTTTAAAGCTGTGGACATTGCAGCATTTACACTACAGCTAGGACGACCATACCCAACAGCGGGGCAGTTGTTCTTGTTTCTTTTGCTTTGCTCACTCCTGATAGGGAACAAGAGGCCATTTTGGTGATTCACAAAATGATGAACCTGATTCTAACTACCAGTAGTTACCAGCTATCCCTAAAAACAAAATCAGAAAACAGCCCTTGTTGCAAAAGGCAACCTAGATCAGGGTAGAATTTCTCTTACCATCTTGATTGGAGATTGCGTGAGATCAGATTCTGAAACCGGCATGTCGTCACTCTCCATGACGTAGATGCCTTTGCGTGACAACGCATGGATAACAGGCTGGTGACCCTGCAGGGCAGCCACCTGATCCCCTTTGAGAATGAGACTGCAGACACGACAATACAGTTCACTTGACAGCAGCAGCTTGATGACGGGTGGTTTAATGTGTTCCTGATCATACTGGTCGGTGTAGAAAGCATCCCTCAAATCCTCAGGGATGTTATCTGCAACGAAGCATAGAGAGATTAAGACAATCTCAACACATTTGCAGCTGTGTATCCCATCTCCAGTTAATAGAATATGAGAATTTCAATTTGCTATTGCTACTCTAGGAATACATTTTTAAGCAATACAATGAGAATACAATTCCTTGGGATTTCAAGTTTGTAATTTGTGGAACAATACAAAAATGTGTGATCATTTCGCTGCATTGAAATAATTTACTGAAGGTGCAGGTTTTAAAATCAACATAAAATCCCCAAATTACTTGGTCAATAAGATCATGTACTGTACAGTTATAACAATTTGTAAAGAAAAGGTGTTCAATGATTTAATTATACAGTTCTGAAAATAATTATTATAAGTAATTTCCTTGACTTGTTTTAGCAATTTACACAAACAACCCAATGATGATTTGACAGTATAAACAGATCATGAATAATAATTATATAAAACATGAAACTTAAATTAGCTTAATGAACCAAAACAAATTTGGTGAATAATCTTTTCTATGTCAGATTAAACTGAATTTCACACAATCCATAGAACCTTGACATTTGGCTATAAAATACACAGTCATGAAATTCTACAATATAACCCGTAAGGCACTTTGACATTCTCCCAATGTGAAAAGCGCTATATATCAAATGCAACGACAATTATTATATCCTTTATCCTAAAGCACAGTTGATGATAGGTGTTAAGGAGGCAGTTTCTGAAGGGAGACTGAGGGACAAATCAAAGGGACTCCAAGGATAAAGTTCTAGACAGCAGGGGCAGAAGGTAGCAAATATGAAGCAGGCAAATGTTTGCTAAGTGGAAAAAGCATCTGGGACAGTAAAGTCACAGGAGGTTACTAAGGTAGGGTGAAGCCATTGAGGCATCTGAATACGAGGACGAGAATCCTGAATTCAATCCACTGGGAGATGGGGGCCAGATGAGCTGAGCAAGGAGTGTATGATGGATTCGTTAGAACCTGGTGTAGGAGAGGACACAAGCTGCAGAGTTCTGGATGGTCTGTCTGCACTTGTGTGGAGGAGCTGGTTTGATATTTGATACAAATACATTTCAAACATATTTATTCCATCCTACGTGGACACCTGAATTGACTAAATACTGTAAGAGAAATATAAATATTGTATAAATTTATAATAAGAAATAGAATAAAACATCTCATTTAAAGTAAATTGTCTTTGGTTTCCCATTTAAATTTTTTGGGCGATTAACAGATTTAAGTTATTTTAGAAAGGAATTCAACTCAGACTTAAAAAGGATAACATAAAAGGGCAATCTCTTTAATTAGCAGAATCAAGAGGATTAACGAAATTAATTGTGTGCGATTATGTCTGAACGTGGATTACAGGAGATGACAAGCTGCCCGCGCCCAGAAAAATGTCATTTTGTAATATTACAATCTTACTTGGAAGTTATTTGCTGGAATTGTACTTGTTGCACTTCTTTCTGCACACACAAACTACTTATTAAAAACACAACTATATGATGAGGCTAAGTTGACAAAGTGTTCTCATCAAGGAAGAACCAAACTATAGTAGTAACTTCCAGTAATGCTGTTCATTTTTAAACTTAGATCTATAGTATTAATTTTCACCCCTCCTACACTGAATCTCTGTGTCATGTTGAGTACAATTCCGCAGCCCTCACTGGCAACTCCCTAAATTGCAAAACCAGTTTGTGAAGGCTGATGGACTGTTTGGCTATGAGGGTGAATAAACATCAACCCTGATCTTTCCTCCTTGTAAGGCCCATACCTGAACAATCACGATCAACAACAATAGCCGATTTCTCCCCTCTAACCCGTGAGATGAGACCCCAAAGTGTAGCATTAACACTAAGATCAGCTGAGACAACTGATTGGGTTTTTTACTAGAATAGCAATACTGTTTTTTTTAAAAAAAACAAAAAGGTTATCTCCCAAAAACATTCATCAACATAATTTGCAGCATGTGTATGGCTGACTGCACATCTGGTCATCCCTTTAAGTGGGTTGAAAATGTCCTCAGCATCTCTAAATGATGTTTCCAGATGATTTGCAAGGCGGTTTTCTATTTTCAGTTTTCACTGCACTTTCACTCAGTCTTCAACTCCCTCGAATCTACTTTAGAGCTGCAGTCTTATAATTACCCTTCTGAGATGTTATTCTGTAAGTGCATCAGAATCAACTGAATCAATTGCTTCCTCCTTTCTTTGCCTATCCCTTCAGCTCCCACCTCCATCTGCCTATCTAGCACGATTTTTGAAACGTCCTCCCAATGTAAAATGCATTATATAAATGTAAATTATGTTACTGCTTTTGCATCTATTCGGTGTCTTCCATCAAGCCTGTTGCACGTTAAGATCCCTAGGCATTATTTGAAAAGGGAGTTTTTCCTGGTGTCCTGGCCAACAATCCCCCCTGATAAAATCCGCCATTCAAATCATAGCTGTTTGAGTGGAATTGCTGTGTGCAAATTGACTGCTGTGTTTGCCTTCAGATATGGTCACTTTACAGCGAATCCTATGAAGTGCATTGAGACTAATGTAATAAGGCACTAGATCAATGGCAAGTTTTATTATTAATCAGTTTTTTCTATACTGCTGTTAGCAGATTAATGGCAGAATATGTTTTTAAACCTACAATTTAATTTGGGGGTTCAGGTGGCATCATAAACCACTCAAGGTTTGCTGTGACATTAACATGCCAGTAAATTATACTTTCCCCAAACAGTCATTATACTCTAAGGTATAAAAAAGGTCAAATCAATTTTTAAGTTAATTACAGACTCAATATTTATAAGAAGAATATAAACTTTGCACAATAATGGGAAAATAATTTGTAATACATCATATGATCTTTACTGCATCTCTTAGTAATATAGAATTGATCATTGTATTGGCATTGCAGAAAGATTATTTCCATAAATATCTTCCTATTTATTCAGAATTGTTGGAAATAAAGTGTTTATCTGTAATATTCCACTTTCTAAATCATGTCAAATGATGCACGTGTATGAAAGTTGAAAACAGAAATTATACTGAAAGGATATATTTGCACGTCAAAATTTTACATTTTATCCAAACATTTCCAAAAGATAATTCATTAATCATGGCAACAGGGACAAGAAAAAGGTACAGCTAAGAGGTGAGCTTTAGAGAGCAACCATTTTTTTAAAAATCACCATCTTGTGTGCTTTTTCAGTTCATTACACTGTTTACTGCTGGTGGCAGCATTACGTGGTTACTCTGCCCAGAGACAGCTCGAGGCTCCTAAATGTAACCTGAATCATTGGCTGAGCTCGGAGAAATCATTACTGGAGGTTTCCCGAGCATAACCTTCAAAGCTAAATCATTATTCTAGGGCATGGTTATTTTATGCACAGGTGGGATGGATCTCAGAGCAGTCCTATGGAAATGATGGGCAATATAACATTATCTCGTTGCACTTCAAGCTCTCACCAAGGTTGTTTTTTAATATAAAAAACTAATTGGACACAAAAAAAATTACATTTCCCTCCATTAGCATATTCCTCTGTTCCTGGTCTCTTACTGGATGCAGATCCATAAGCATTAGTTAGTTACCCTGTGCTATTCCATTAAAGTGGCCTTTGCTCTGTCAGGGGTGTCTTGGCAATGTGTGATGTCAGGTTGCTTGACTGTTGAGGACATCACTGCCGAATATATTTCTCCCCCACCCAATTTTCCAAACATTTTGTTGAAAATAGTTCTGCAGATGAACCCTGGGATCTCCCTTTTCCCTTTTGATGACAAGACTCCACTGCTAAATGGCTTTACACATAAGCCAAGAGAAAGGACAGTAAAACTACAAAATCAATTTTGATTGTATGACAAAAAATTTCTAAATGTAGAAAGTTTCCATTTTGATCCTTTATATACACTGGCCACCATCTTTCTATAAGTTCCATTGATCATTCTTAATTTAGCAATTCTTACAAAACAAATTCAATTTGTTTGGATTACTCTTAGAAACCGCACTCAAAACAAATACAAACTCTTTCTATATCTCCAGCCAGCTTATTAGATGCTATCAACAAAGCAGATATCCTTCAGCAATTACACCCAACAATCTTGAGCACCTAAATAAATCATTGAATCATCCTTTCTAGAATAGAAAAATGGTTACTATGTGCAAGGATTTTGAATAAATCTTTAAACCTCTTGATTAATAAAATAGATCAAGCTTAAAGCAAAAAAACATTTTCTAAGCAATAAGAAATAGAAGAAAACACACCTAAACTGTTGTACTGTAATGTTATCTCAAGTCTAATCAAACTTTCAGCTTCAAACAAAGGCCTCAGCAATACAGAGCTCAGCTTTGAAGATATAAAAATTCAAGCAGCAGACCGGACTTCACACAAAAGGCAGTTCAACAAAAACACTCAATGGGAGCAAGTAGTGCTTGTGCTAAATCATCAATCTTCCTTTAATAGCCCAAACCCTATTCTCATAAATTGAAGCTACAAAATAGCTGCTTGATCAGTGAATCCATCATATTCCCATATGGCACTCTCTGATTTTCCTTTGTTGCCACTGCACTTCCCCTACCCCTACATAATTATATAATCCTCACATTTGATATAGCACCTTATCACATCGAAACATCTCAAAACACTTAACAGAATTTCACTATAAAATGTAGTGACTTTTTTTGTGTTCGAATGTGGCAGTTAATTTGTACATAGCAAACAAACAGGAAATACACAAACCACCATGACTAATTTTATCCAGTGGATTGTTTGCCAGAATACCTTGAGAAACACACTTCTCTTTTTAAATAGTGCCGATCTTTAACGTCCTTCTGAACAGGCAGACAGGACCTCCATTTAATGTCTTATCTGAAGGACACCAATGCAGAAACTCCCCAAGCACCTCATTGGAGTCATAATCTGGTTGTGGACCTTGAACCCACATCAGTCAGATTGATACCTTAAAATCCACTGATGTTAGTAGCTTAGATATGTTGGGTCAAATGACCCAAGTATGCAAAGAC